TCGCCCACCTCTCCAAGAGGGAGCCCAGCGCACCACGTACCGCCCATCCTGGGCGCTGCGGCGGCGGGTAGGCCCGGACCCCGGGAGAAGTAGACATGCGCCGCGGGCCCGCCTCGTCGCCGCCCGTGAGGGTCGCTCGGGCGGGTTCGGCTGGCCTGTCACCTTCAGGGCCGCCCGCCCCTCAGCCCGCCGCGGACCCCTCAGCGCCAGCCGCTGACGCCACTGGCTCCGCCACCACCGCCCAGCTGGGCCTCCCCGCGCCTCGGCCCTCCCGTGGCGCCAGCCGTCTGCACCTCTCCTCGGCGCCGCCCCCCAGCCCGCCCGGCCCATACCTGCTGGGAGAGGGGGATGAGCGGCGCCGCCATCTTCCCGCGGACTCGGGCTCCGAGCGCCGGCAGAACGGAGGCGGGGCCGCGCCCGCGCGTGCGCACCGGTGCCAGGGGCGGTGCGCGCGCAGCTAAACCAGGGCAAGGGCCGTGCCGAAGGCAAGAACGCGCATGAGCAGCTGGGCCTTGAAGGCGGGACAGAGGGCGGGGCCGCGCGCTCTTCGCAGGCCTGGAGGGGGCGGGGCGGCGCTGACCTGGGGCGGGGCTTATGAAGGGCGCTTGCCCCTGGGACCCTAGCTGAGTGTCTGTGGCGCTTCCCTGTCACCCGCCCCTGAGTCCTGCGTTGGCCAGACCCCAAGACTGCAGGAGTCCCTGCCCCCATGTACCGTGTTCTGTGATGCTTCTAGCTCCTTGCCGATGCCCGTCTGCTAGGGTTGCCCTTCCTCTCTCAGGGCGCCAGGCAACGCACTATGCACTGGTGGACGCCCACCCAAAAGAGCTCTGACCCTCACCTCCCCACAAGGAGACCTGTTTCTAGAACCTAGAGTAACTGTGAGTGTGTGTGTGTTTTCTAATGTGGGTCTTTCCCATAGGGTTTCCACTAAGCCCTGGAACAGGCTTAACCTCTTCTCTGCAGTAGCCCCGTTATCTACAATTATTCCTCATCGCCACTTTCTTGCTGTGTGACCTTGGCAAGTCATTTAACTAGCCTCTCTGCACCCCTAGTCTCCCATTTTGAAAAAACAGCAAGGTAATATGTGTTGTTGACATTGTTATCTCATTATTATGCCTCACACTGTCCCACAATGAGCAGCAAGCACCTGATGCTGCAGCAGGATGGTTATTGGAGGCCCATTTGTTTATTCAGATTTTCCTCTTTCTTTGGCTATATGCCGCACTCCTTCTGGGTCAATTCCAGAGAGACAGTGAGGAAGGCAGGCCTGGCCAGGCAGGCGACCAAAGCAGCATAAGGTTTCTCCAGGGAAAATGAACCTCCCTTTACCAGGCTTCTCACAATGGTGGCAGAGTAGTCTGACTGGGCATCAGGTCTCAGCAGGCAAGACTGAGGCCTGTGATCCATCTCCTCTTTTCTGGTGTCTCACAAGTTGCTGTTTCAACATCTCCAATAACTCAGTGTATCTTATGCCATTCAGATGAACACTGGTGCTCTGATTCATTCATCAACCATTCACCTGTCATACACTTGCTGGGCACTCTACCTCGATGCAGGCCGATGGTGAACCAGGTAGACACACACTCCTTAGTCAACTGTCTAGCACAGGTTTCTTACCTTGGAGCTATATCAGAACTACCCAGGGGGATTGTTAAGCACAGACCAGGGTTCTGATTCAATTTGTAGACATGGGTGGGACCTGACATTTTGGCATTTCTAACAAATCCCTAAGGATACTGATTCTTCAGTCCCAGGACCCCATTTTGAGAACCACTGGCCTACAGGATGGAAACTAGCATTCATGGAATAATTGAGCAAGGAAAGAGATCACTATAGACAGTGGCAGGTACTACAGAGTAGACCAAAGGTATGACTTGAAGGTGTATGTACATATGTGAGAGGAGGCTGAGGGGCATCTCAGGGAGAAAGAGCTGAGGCACCAAGGAGCCTGTGAGACTACAAACCTGGAGCTCAGAGAATAAGACAGGGGCTTAAGAACAATTTGGATCATTCATGGTCCTAAGGGACACCCTTTTTGAAAAGCAACTGGAAGCCACCACAGGGATTTGAGCATGATCGGATTTGTGTTCTAGCATGGTGAACTCTGGATAGGGGAGAGGCCTGGATGGAAGAGAATAAATCATAAGATGTGAAAGCAGCCCAGGTAGGAGTGATGAGGTGTTTAACGGACTTGAATGCAATAATACTGTCCATGTTTCATAAGGAAAAGTGAATCCATTCAAGGTATTTCAAACAGAGGAAATCAAGTACAGGGGAATGAGTATAAGAGCACTGGGAGTAAGCAGAAGTAAAGGGTTGAGGGCTGGGGCTGGGGATCAGCGGTGGAGCACTTGCCAACATGCATGGGGCGCTAGGTTCAATCCTCAGCACCACGTAAAAAATTTCCAGTTTTAAATGGAAATTACAGATATTCCTTAACTTAGGACATATATATATATATATATATATATATATTTTTTTTTTTTTTTTAAAGAAGTAGTAAAGGGTTGAGTCGGCTTTTTATCACTGTGGCAAAATACATGAGAAAACAACTTCAAGAAAGAAAGATGTACTTTGGGTCACAATTTCCGAGGTTTCAGTCCATGGTCATTGGACTGGCTCCATTGTTTCTGGGCCCATGGTCAGGGAGTACATCATGGCAGAAGGGTATGGTGGAACAAAGCTGCTTACCTTATGGTAGCCAGGTTGCAGAGAGAATGAGAGGGAGGAAGGGACCAGGGACAAGATATATCCTTCTAAGGCATGTCCCCTAGTGATCTATTTCCTTCAACGTGGCCCCTCTGCCTACAGTTTCCTCCATATACCAATAATACCATCAAATATGAAATCCATTGATGAGTACAAAGCCCTCGTGATCCTACTGCTTCCCCAAATCCCTGCCTCTAAGCACTGCGGACAGGGAACCGTGCCTTCAACAGGTGAGTCTTCGGGGAACGCTTCATATCTAACTGGAACAGTAAAGGTCACCTAAAGATCAGTAACTGTGGGAGGCTGACAGCCCCTCTAGGGCTGCAATATCAAAAGGGGGAAAGGTGTTCCCCAAAACCCAAATCACAGTGCCCCCCAAGTGTGGTGAACCTCACACCAACCACTGCGGCTTCTGCCATTGTTACTAAAGTCATTGCTACTGTTACTACCACCTAGGGTGCTGGCATCTGAAACAAATGGCATCTTCCCTTCTGCCGTCTAACCGCCTGCTGCTAGAGCGCGGTAGGAACCCCCACATGGGAGTCAGGAGGGAACGAGGTCCATGAAGGCTTCTATCCCTGGTGGTTGAGTCTAGAGGTCAGTAGCAACAGAAGCTCTCCAACATCGTCTACACTGGAAACAGCCTCAGCGATGTGTGCAAGTCCCCCATGGCCAGCAGCACAGTCTGAGTGGCCTGTGAGACCTTCATGACAGTGATCAACTGTCCTGAGCCTGTCTCACCAGAGTTCAGAGCTACTCTATATACATCAGGGAGGCCACTCACCACATGTGGCTACTAAATTTTAAATGGAAATTACAGATATTCCTTAACTCAGGACCCGAATAGCATCCATTGTAAGTTGAAAATATAAAGTAAAGAATGCATTTAATCTGCCGACCCTGTTACACCTCCTAGTTAGCAACACAGTGCACTTCGGGCTCTGGCTGCTTCCCCTGTGAGCACAGGCTGACGAGGAGCTGGCACCCACCCCACTGCCCAGCATGGCAAAAGAATACCATGCATTTTGTTAGCCTGGGAATTATCCAAATTCAAGATTCCCAATATGGCTTCTACTGAATGTCTATCATCTTCTCACCAGTATGAAATTGAAAAAAACTCACATTGAAGCATGAGAATTTGGGGACCCTCTGTACAATGAAATAAAATAAGAAGTTATTCCTTGGTCCCATTAGCTACATTCCAAGGGCTCAGGGGCTATTGCACTGGTCAGCACAGTTGAGATCTCCATTTTCATAGAAAGTTCCTGAGGGCAACTCACTGCAGATAGTGAGCCCCACAGAAGTGGGCAACGATGGTGACTGGCACTCTCTCGGCCTGCCTCGGCTTCTCCAGATGCTGACTTCTCACCCCATTCAGAGAAAAAAGGGGTAGGCAGTGTTTGAATCCTACCCGTGCATGAGGCAGAAGAGTCTAGCTTCTTGAGAACCAACCCCCAGATAAATGGTGAGGTCTGATTAGGATAAAGAGTCCGAGTTCAAGGTCTATCATCTTCAACCAGGACCAGAATAAACCTTGTCAGAACTTCACTTCCTGCCCAGACTTTTCAAACTCTCAATGTGCTATATGTACCTTCCATATTATTGGGATTATTGTTGAGATTGCCAGCCTCCAAATTTCTGGAGTCATAAGTTTGATAAATTCAAACATGAATTTCATTGTGAAAATAGATCTTGGGGCTGGGGAGGTGGCTCAAGCGGTAGTGCGCTCGCCTTGCATGCGTGCGACCCGGGTTCGATCCTCAGCACCACATACCAACAAAGATAAATAAATATTAAAAATTCTCTCTCTCTCTCTCTCTCTCTCTCTCTCTCTCTCTCTCTCTCTCTCCTCTCTCTCTCTCTCTCCTCTCTCACTCTCTCTTTAAAAAAAAAATAGATCTCTTCAAGAAGAGACTGGCAGGCTAGGGATGTGGCTCAGTGGTAGAGTATTTGCCTGGTATGTTCACAACCCTAGGTTCCAACCCCAGCACCTCAATTTAAAAAAAAATAAAAAGAATTTGGGCTGGGGCTGTAGCCCAGTGGCAGAGCGCTTGCCTAGCAGGTGTGAGGCACTGGGTTTAATCCTTAGCACTGCATAAAACAAACGAATAAAATTTTTTAAAAAAGGGTTTTATATTGAGAAACTTTCATATGTTATCAGTGATTTACAACTAGAGAAATAAAGCATTGCTCTTTTTCAAAATGCATCTTATCAACTTTTATTTTATAAAAACATTTTAGAGATTAAGAGCGTCATGTATTTGACCAGATTCCTGCTGGTCTGTGGCCTCCAGCGCTCAGATCTGGGGAGGGGAACTTCCTGGTGCATAGGGATCACTGAGGAAAACGTGACTGACCCCACCAAAAGCACGGAACGTTTTTAAAAGAAAGCTGGACCAGTTACCAAGTGACCTTTTCAATGCAGATTAAAGTAGAAACAAGGTTTTTATCAGTCATCTTTATAATAGGGATGACTAAAGCTCATCCCGCCTGTAATATCTATTGAAATGACTTTCACGCATATGAAACTTTCCTGCCAGGAGTTCCTCATCTTCCTCGCGGGCTTTTTTCACTTCTTCCTTGGCTTGTATGGCATCCATCTCCCTCTCTGGACCCTGGTGAAACACAACAACAAAGACTCCAGTGGCCGTAGGTCACGCTTACTGGGAGCCCAGTGGCGGGCCATATGCATGTCAATCTCTCCCTGCTTTCCAGAAGCTTCCATACCACCTACAGCTAGCTAGGTGTGATGGCACTTGCCTGTAATCCCAGGGGCTCGGGAGGCTGAGACAAGAGGATCACGAGTTCAAGGCCAGCCTCAGCAAAAGCGAGACACTAAGCAACTCAGTGAGACCCTGTCTCTAAATAAAATACAAAACAGGGCTGGGGATGTGGCTCAGGGGTCGAGTGCCCCTGAGTTCAATCCCTGGTACCCACCCACTCACCCCCCAAAAAAGAAAAAGAGCCCCTAAAGATGGCAATCCTGATCCCTAGGGTGGGGGTGTGGCTCAGTTCTAGAGCACTTGCCCAGCACATGAAGGCCTTGGTCCTCTCCCCAGCACCACACACAGAATAAATCCTAATCCCCAAAACCTGCAAATGTTACCTTATGTGGGAAAGGGTTCTTGGAAAGGCTTTTGGCTCAGGTTTCAGAGGTTTCAGTTCATGGTGGCTTGACCTTGTCACTTTTGGGTCTGTGGCAAGCAGTGCATCATGACAGGGAGCGTGTAGCAAAGGAAACTGCTCAACTCATGGCAGCCAGGTAGCAAAAGGGAGGAACAGGCTGGCGTCCCAACAAACCCTTCAGTGCAACATCCTCCAAATTCCCTCTGGGGAGGCCCCACCTCTTAAAGGTTCTACACCTCCCAGCAGCACGCAGGCTGGCGTCCACGCCTTGAAACCCCTGGGCCTTGAGGGGATGGTCCACAAAATCACACCATCCCAGTTTTCCAGATGGGCCCTAAACCCAATCACAAATGTCCTCATAAGAGAGGGCTAAAAAGGGTTTTGACACACAGAGACAAGAAGAGAAGGCCAGATGGAATTTGAGGCTGAGACACGCAGCCAGCCACCAGGGATACCAGGACCTGCCCCAGAGCATTCACAGCAAGCACGGCCCCCAGGCTGCCCTGACTGCAGCCCACCAATACTGAGTTTCTTTTTAAGTACACATTTTGATTTAATACATAGGAGGGATCAATACCCCAAACCAATACTGGTTTTGGACTTCTGGCCTCCAGAACCAAGGGGGATACATTTCTGTTGTTTTAACAAACTCATTTGTGGACATTTATTCTGGCAGTCAGAGGAACACATGCATCCTCCTGTATTTCCAGAGCACGAGGGACATCAAAGAACAGATCAGGGAACGGACCCATAAACAGAAGCCCCAGAATCTAAGTCAGAAAATCACGGCACACGGAATGACCAGGAAGGTGAAGGACAAGAAGATTTCCAGCCAGGTACAGTGGTGTTCCCCTGTAACCCTAGCGGGTCGGGAGGCAAAGACAGGAGGATCATGAGCTCAACATTTAGTGAGGCCCTAAGAAATTTAGCAAGACTATCTCAAAATCATATATATATATATAAAATCTGGTGGGGGAATGCTGGGGATGTGGCTTAGTAGCTAAGCACCCTTGGTTTCAATCCCTGGTTAAAAAAAAAATCGATTCCCAGTCAGCCTGCTGTGTAGGGGCACACTGTAATCTCAGCGACCCAGGAGGCTGAGGCAGGAGGATTGCAAGTTTGAGACCAGCCTCAGCAATTCAGTGAGATCTTCCACAACTCAGCAAGACCCTATATCAAAATAAATAAAAAGAACTGGGGATGTAGCTTGATGGTACTCCTGGGTTTAATAACTAGTACTGAAACAAAAAAGGCAGGTCCCAGTGGGAGGTAACTAGGTCATGGGGCCACCAACTTTGGAAGAGGTTCATATTCGTCTTGCAAAGTGAATTAGTCCTCACAGGTTTGGACTGTCCACCCTTCTGCACGTGATCAGTTCCTTTTCCATTTCTCTGCCATATTGTCACCCAGCCAAGGGGGCCCTCACTAGTGGCTAAACAGATGGAGCTGCCAATCTTGGGACTTTCTGTCTCCCAAACTGTAAACTGAATAAACTTCTTTTCTTTACAAGTAATCCAGACTCAGAAAACGACTGACACAATGCCTTTCCTGCGCAACCTAAACGATCCAAAGCCCATACCCAACCACCTCCTCCAGCTGAGCTCGTGCCCTCTGGGCCGTCACCCCTGCTCTCATCACCTGGAACCAGACACCAGACAACGAGGGGTGGCCACTAGGCCCCAAAGCCCACTGAAACAATTCACCGTCATCAATTCAGAGTCTGCTTGTGGTGACATACTCGCTTCTTCCTGTGGAAACCACATTAAAGGTTCCTGCCCAAGTTTTCCCCACGCTCCCTCTGCCTCCTGGCTGACCCTAGTGTGGCCCTGTGTGGCCTCGTGGGCTCTCTTGGTGTAACTGCAACAAGAACTCTCATTTTAATGGCAGTCATCTCCTGATCTGTTGGCCTCCCCCTGCCCAAGTGAAAATAAATCCTGGATTTTTACTTTTTTTAAGAGACTATGTCTTGCTATGTGGCCCAGGCTGGCCTCGAACTCCTGGGCTCAAGTGACCCTCCTGCCTCAGCCTCCTGAATAGCTGGGACTCTAAGTGGGCACCACCATGGTGGGCTTGAAGCCTGTGTCAACCCAGGCCTTTCACAAGAGGACCTCCAAGTGGCCACTTGTCATCAGGGAAACGAAATGAAACCAGAGTGAGACACCACTGCACCAACGGGAGCCGAGGGGTGGCCAGGACCGCACAATGGTGCTGTCGTCTGGAGAGAGTCTGGATGTGCCCATGTGGCCTGGCAGCCCATTCCCGGGGATTTACCCCAAAGAAATGAGAATACCGTATGAAACACTTATAGCAGCTTTGTTGTTGCTATGGTTTGGATCTACAATGTCCCCAAAGGCCCCTGTGTTGAAGGCCCAGTCCCCACCTTGGTGCTCCTGGGAGATGGCGGGAACTCAAGGCGTGGAGCCTAGGGCATCATGGGCCAGCCCTCCCTCTGTCACTGTTTCTCTCCTGGCCACAAGGCCAGTGGCTCTCTTGGTCACACACTCCTGCTGTGGTGGCTGCCTTGCTCGAGACTTCAAAGCAACGGGGCCAACCATGGACCGTGACCTCTAAAACACGGAGCGGAAGAAGTGCTCGTTCTAGATTGTCTCCGGTATTCTACTGAAGTAGTGGGAGCCTAGAACACGCATGTTGACCAAACCTGGAAACAGGCCAAGCTAGGAAACGCACAAACTCCAAGGCGATAAGAGAAACGACCTCCTGACTCGGCCACAGCCCACAGGAGTCTCAGACACCTCCCACCAGGTTAAAGAAGCAGCTCCTGGGGCCGCGAGTGTGGTTCCGTGGCGGGGTGCACACTTAGCAGAGTGAGAGCCCAGACCTGAGCAGCTCCACAGGCCGGGTACTCGACAACATTCTGGAAAAGGCGGACCACAGGACGATGCCTGGTTGGTGAGGGGGTGACTAAAAAGGGCCCAAGGACACCTTTTGGGGTGATGGACCTATTCCACCTCTTGATTTTCGGTGTTGGTTTCAGAAAGATATGTATTTGTCCAAATTCAGAATTGTATGCCTAAAAGGGTGAACTTCATAGTGGGTAGATTAGACCTCAATAAATCTGACTTAACAACAATTAACAATACCAGCACTGTCACAGAGGTGGCACAGTGCAACTGTCCCCACTGTAGAAAGGATAACTGCATTGAAAACCGTTTGGCCACATCAAGCCGTTGCCCATCAGCTCCACTGTGACCCAGTACCTGGATGACCACTCTATGAGCAGCAGATTTTACTCTGGCTCAGGGTCTCGGGGGCTTCAGTCCCTGACCACGTGGCCCCATTGCCTTGGGTCTGTGGTGGGGCAGCCACACAGCAGGGAGCACCTGGAACAGGAAGTTCTCACCTCATGGCAGCCAGGAGGCAAAGGGATAAAGAGGAAGGGGCAAGCATCCCAAGAGCCACTTCAAGGACACGTCCCCAGACCGAGCTGGCTTCTACAAGGCCCACCTCCTACCAGCACCACAGGCTGGGGACCAAGTCTTCAGCGTATGGGCCTCTGGGGGCACTTGAGATCTGAACTGTAGCACATTCAAGTGGCCCAGCAGTCCACTCCTGGACATGTGTCCACTACAGACACACACACACACAGGAGCCGCCCCTCACCCAAGATCTCACTTGCCCACCATCAAAAATGGTTCAAAAATATGTACTGGAAAATTTCAAGAATAATTCACAACTTTTAAATAGCTATCAATGCAGTACAGTGTCACATACTAGTTCTATTTTATTATTAGTAATTGTTGTTCATCTCTTTTTGTGGCTGATTTATAAATTAAAACCCTATATAAAACACAGACCATAGAGGTTTCAGGCCTACCCACTGGCCCTTGGAATTTGCCCTGTATTGATAAGGAGGTGTCTCTCTTCAGAGTCTCAGAACAGCCTCCTTCACAAGGCCCCAAACTGGGGGCAACCCAAAGCTGCATCAACAGAGAATGAGCACATACATTCTGGAATATTCTCACAGTGAGAACGAGCTATTGGTCATGGGGGCAGGGCCCATGCCTGTAATCCCAGCGACTCAGGAGGCTGAGGCAGGAGGATCACAGGTTTAAGACCAGCCTTGGCAACTTGGCAGGATCCTGTCTCAAAAATAAAAAAGTAAATTGGGTGCGGGGTGGGGCATGCCTGTGATTCCAGTAATTTGGGAGGCTGAGACAGAAGGTTCACAAGTTCAAAGCCAGCCTTAGCAACATAGTGAGGCCCTAAGCAACTTAGTGAGACCCTGACTCCAGGAAAAAAAAAAAAAAGCATCTCAATGGTTAAGCACCCTTAGGTGGTTCCCCAGTAAGTCTGTCTGTCTGTATAAACACACAGAAGGCCCAGGGTGAAGCTTAGTGGTGGGACACCCTGGGCTCAATACCCAGTTCTCGCCAAAACCAGGAAGAAAGTGCTGCTGCTCCACACACGAGTGTGAACGAACGACACTGTCTCCAACTGTCCCCAATGGGGGGCCCTGCTATGGTTTGTCCCCCGAAGGCCCATGGGCCCAAGTGCTCCCGAGGGGGATGGCACTGTAGAGGGCAGGCTTGGGTCGCTGGGTGTGCCCTGGGCAGGCTTGGTGGGGTGGGGGCCTGTTCTCTGCAGCCCCCTCTCTTCCCTGCTCCCTGGCTCACCAGGAGGTCAGTGGCTGGTTTGCTCAGTGGTCTCCAGACACCGTGTCGGCCTCAGGCCCCAGAGCCACAGGACCAACTGCTCAAGGACTAAAACCTCAGAACCGTGAACCTGGATAGACCTTCTCCCTTCAGCAGGTGACAACCTCGGCCACTTGACACAGAAATGGGACACTGGTGCGCTTCCCTTCACGTGAGTTTCAGGAAGAGGTCAGAGGGACGCGCTGGTGGGACAGAGTTCGCCTCCGGGGTGCGGGGAGAGTGTGTGGAGGCTGCAGAGTACAGGTGACCTTCTGTGTTCTGACCTGGCTCAGGTGTCCACTAGTAAAAATTCAGCCAGCCCTTTCCTAAGTGACAGACTTTGGCACAAAGTGTTTGAAACAAAGGAATGATCAAAGTTCACTGTATGTATCCTTCGTACCTTGGTTTCGCCCCAGGTGGCCTTGGCAAAATTCTCAGCATACTCTTCATCGTCTGTGATCAGGAAGTTATCAAAGATGGTTCCAGATCTCACCTGTAGATGAAAAAGAAGCCTTCACTATTGATGTCACATATGTTCCAATTTTCCACAGAGAGATGGTTGTATTTAGCTCAATACTATAAACTGGTTGGCTAGTAGAGGTGGGCCAGGCATGGTACTGCAGGCCTGTAATCCCAGGGCCTCAGGAGGCTGAGACAGGAGGATCATGGGTTCAAAGCCAGCCTCAGCAAAAGCGAGGTGCTAAGCAACTCAGTGAGACCCTGTCTCTAAATAAGATACAAAATAGGGCTGGGGAGGTGGCTCAGTGGTCTGGTGCCCCTGAGTGCAATCTCTAGTACCAAAAAAAAAAAAAATAGTAGAAGGCACTTAAGCCCATTTCAGGAATACTAAACTGTACCCTCTATGTGGGCTAGGGGTGAGGCTCAGGGGTGGTGCATGAATTTAACAGTTGTGAGGCTCAGGGTTCCATCCCTAGCAGCCCCCCAACAAAAAAAAAAAGAGCTAAAAATCTCTTTATCCCTAGGCCTCACCCCCAGGGATGTGGATGCAACCAGCATGTGGGCATGGGGACTTTGAAAAGCTCCCCAGTGCCTAGAACGGCCATTGCCACGGGGGAGTGCTACCCAGAGCCCCGCTGCTGGGAGTGTGGGTAGAGGGCCTGCTGGGCCGGCACCCCTGGAGCTGGCTGGGAATGCAGAATCCCAGGCCCAAGCCAGCTCTGAGCAGAGAAGTTCCAAGCATAGGAGGGGAACTCCAGCGGGGGCTGGGGCTCAGTGGTAGAGCGCTAGCCTAGCATGTGTGAGGCCCTGGGTTCGGTCCCCAGCACCACATGAAACTGAATAAACAAAATAAAGGTCCATCTATAACTAAAACTATGAAAAAAAAAAAGAGGGGAATTCCAAGGCGACAGGCATGTGGGAAGCACAGCTGTCCCCCAGCTCGGGTCCCAGCACCTGGTTAGGTTCTCACTGAAAAGCAGGAATGCAAATCAAGGACTTCACCTTTGAGTTCAGAGATATGAAACCAAAGCAAATTCATGACGAGTGACCAGGGCTGGGGCTGTGCTCTCACTCGCCTGGCAGGCGTGGGGCACGGGGTTCCATCCTCAGCACCACATGAAAGTAAAATAAAGATACTGTGTCCACCTGTAACTAAAAAATAAACATTAAAAAAAAAAAAAAGATGAGCGACCTGCCAGAGCTCCAGCCCAATGGCACCGATGTTCTCAAATTCCGAGAGGTCATACTGGGTCAGGTAGTTGGTGTTCTTCATCTTCTGGTGGAGCCAGATGTCTTTGTCGATGCCCTCTGGTTTCAGGCCGTCCTGCAACAGCAAACACACGGTGGGCCCAATGGCCCAGGCAGGGGCGGTGCAGCCCGAGGGTCCCGGGACGTGGCAGGGCGGCCCCTCACCTGGTAGGGCGGCTTCTGGAGCAGGGACGCCTGCCAGTCCCCGTCCAGCTCACTGTTCCAGTCGCTGGGCTTGCTGGCGCTGGCGTCTAGGAAATGCTGCTCCCAGTCCTTGCACGTCGGGAGAGGAAAACAAAACAGTCGGACCAGCTGGGGAGTTCACTAGGAACGGAGCCCAGGGCCTCCCCCTGCGAGGCCAGAGCCCTGCCACCAAGCCCCACCCCAGCCCTGAGAGAGGAACTGGGGCAGCCCCAACCCTGCCATGATGTCCCCCTCCTGTTTAACTTAGTTGTCAAAGAGCCCAGTGCCTGGCCTCCTCGACCTTGCCCTGCCGGGGCTCCAGTCGCACCCACATGGCCTCGTCCCCCCGCCCATCCCTCCACAGGATTTCAGTGGGGTGAAAGCCCAAAGCCACGAGGGTGGGAGCCACACACGGACAGCCCTGATGGTAAATCGTCTTTTGTTTCTGGCTGTGCACAGATTGTTCCAGAAAATGGCGGGGGAGGGGGGGGACAACTATATACTACAGCAAGGTTTATCGGGGGACTTCTGAGTAGCAGAAAAGAGCAGTCGCAGGAGGGTCGTGGCTCAGTGGTGGAGCGCTGCCCTCGCATGCATGGGGCCTGGGATTCGGTCCTCAGCACCACACAAAAAACAAGTAAATAAAAACAAAGATACTGTGTCCATCTACAACTAAAAATGTTTTTTTAAGTAGTTACATTATCAAGTTCTTTACACACCCACACGGCAGTGCACAGAATGCTGGTGTCTCCCTGAAAGTCCCAGGCTAAACTCGTACCCTGACATGATACTAGGGGTCTGGGCCTCCAGGGGGTGCTATGGTTTGGATAAGTATCCCCCAAAGGCTCGTATGCTAATGGCTCTGCCCCCAGTCTGTGGCACTGTGAGGTGGTGGTGGGATACTGAGGAGCTGGGGCCTAGGGAGGTCTTCTGGTCAGTGGGGGTGTGCCCTTGAGGGGATATCAGGACCCCAGCCTTTTCCTTCCTTCCTTTTGCGTCTGGTCATCACCACCCTCCAACATGCTCTAAACACCAGGCCCAAGGCAATAGGCCCAGAACCATGGACTGAAACCCCTAAAACTGGGCCCAAACAACCTCTCCCCCTTTCTTCAGTGCTGAGCATCCTCAGGGCCTTGCAAATGTCAGGCAAGGGCTCTATCCTGGCCCTTTTTTAATTCATTTAGAGATAGGGACTCAAATCTTTCCTCTTTTTAAGTTGATTATCACAAGTATTTTGTTACAGTAACAGAAAACTGACTAACATAGGAGACCAAAAAGTCATGAAGGTAAAACCTTCATGAATGGGACGAGTGCTTTTGTAAAAGTGACATTAGAGAGCTTTCTCACCCTCCTGTGAGGGTACAGCAGGAAACGAGCCATCTCCAGTCTGGAAGAGAGCCCTCGCCAGAAACTAACCATGTTGGCACCTTGGACTCATAACATCTAGAACTGTCAGACATAAATTCTGTTGATTACAAGCTATCCAGTTAGAGGACTTTGTAACAGCTGTCTAAATACACACACACACACACACACACACACACACACACTCTCACTCACACAAATGTATACAGTCATCCCAAGATTCCCCTCATACACCAAAATCTTTGTATGCTCAAGTTCCTTCTATAAAATGATGCAGTATTTGCATAAACCTACACATGTCCTCCCGTGTACTTTAAAGTGCCTCTCCTAACACATGGTGGATGGCGCATCTATCGTTGTCATACTGTTTAAAGCATCATGACTAGAAAAAAAGCCTGTACACGTTCAGTGTGGATGAAACTTTTTGCTAGCATTTTGATTCAGAGTTGGTGGATCCAAGCATACAGAACCTACAGGTACAGAGGGTGAACTGAATATATAAACACACACACACACAGATTAGTAGATACTGAATAAATAAACATATTAGAAAATATGTTGATCCAAAATATTGGATTTACCAATATTCAGATAATCCCATATTAAAAAATCATAAAAGCTGTGCATCGTGGCACATGCCTGTAAACTTGAGGCTCAGGCAGGAGGATCACAATCAGCCTCAGCACTGTAGCAAGACCCTAAGCAACTTAGTGAGACCTTGTCTCAAAAAATCAAAAAGGCTGGCATGTGGGTCAGTGGTTAGGCACACTTGGGTTCAATCCCCAGTATCAAAAAAAAGAAAAAAGCATACAAGTCTTGTACAAGTGTTTTCTCAAGATAACAGAAATAAGAAGATTGTACGAGTGTGTGTGTGTGGTGATAGGGATGGAATTCAGGGCCCACACAAGTTAGGCAAATATTCCACCACTGAGTTACATACCCTACACCCTGTATATGACAATTTCAATAAATAATTATCCTTTTATTAAGAAAACATTGGTTAGGGCTGGAGTGCGGCTCAGAGCAGTGCTCAGCATGTTCAAGGTCCTGAGTTCCATCTTCAGCATAAAAACACTGCTTAGAGAAACAGATCCTAGGGGCTGGGGTTGTGCCTCAACAGTAGAGTGCTTGCCTCGCTCCTGTAAGGCACTGGGTTTGACCTTCAGCATCACGTAAAAATAAATGAGACCAAGGTATTGTGTCCATCTACAGCTAAAAAAAGAAATTAAAAAAAGCAACATCCAACTTGTTTGAATCTCAAATATCATAAAGCTCTCTTGCCATCTGCCGTAACGTGTACTGTGCGGCTGGTCTCAGGGGGCCTGTACCCTGGGGAGAGCAGTCATAAGATTGTGACTTTGTACAGTAGCTAGGTGCTTCCAAACTGATCTCGCACACCTCTTACACTTCCCAGAGTTGTTCAGGAAAAATCCATACCTGGGCTTTCGCGTCTTTGGCCTGATTCCAATCCTTAGACTCTGCTGAAGACTCTTCCATTTTCCTAAACGAGGTCAAGTTCCAGTCGTATTCAATGCTGCCGGACTCGATGGCCTGACCGTCAACTTTCACTTCATAAGAAAGGTCTGGTCTTAAAACCAGAGCGTACAGGTGTGTGAAGCCATCAACCTGCCAGGTTAGGGGAGGGCCGCTGTGAAACCCGTGCCGTTTGGACGCGGGTCTGAATACCAGTTTAAAGCAGGCTCCAGGCAAGCCTTGGGTGCAGCAAGGAGACCTGGGGAGGCTCTGGGAAGAGGGGTTGGTCTTCAAAATGGGATCCTGGGTCGGGGTGTAGCTCCATAGTAGAGCTCATGCCCAGCGCGTGAGAGGCCCTGGGTGCTAGCCCCTGCACCACAGAAAAATGAAATAAAGATTAAAGAGGGAGGGGCATCCTGTGGAGCAGCCACACGGCCGCAGAAGACCCCCGCTCCTCCCAGGCCCTCTCCTGTGTGGCTGGTTCCTCTCGGTGCAGACAACATGGCTCCGGCTGTGGTTGGATAAGTGTCCCCAAGGCCCACGTGTTAAAGGCTTGGTCACCAGCCTGTGGTGCGATTGAGGGCATCTAGAACCAGGTGGGACGGCTGAGGGAGGAAGTTAGGTCACTGGAGGGGTGCCCCTGAAAGGGACACCAGGTGTCTTTTAATCTTTTTTCATTCTCAGCCACAAGGTTAACGGGCTGCCTTTGCCACAAGCCTCTACCATGATGCCACAGGCATGAAGCAACAAAGCCAACCAACCATGGGCTGAAACCACCAAACAATGAGCCCAGACAAACCTTTTCTCTTTTTAAGTTGGCTGTCTCAGGTACTTTGTCATAGTAATACAAAGCCAACTAACAGGAAGATCTGATTCCCTCTTTGAAAACCCTGGAGGACCAAGCACTGCCTGCTCGTGGGGTTCTGGACCTTTCCTCCACAGTGTTGCAGAACCAATCAAAGCCCTGTGAACACAACAGTGTTCTTCCCTGAGGCCAGGAGGTCAACTAGGTGCTGTGAAGCAAGGCCACATCATTAGCCCTGTAGCAACACAGTCTGAGGGAGCCTATGGGTGCCACTCAGGGCCACGTGGGCTTTCTGACCCAAGGCGACCATGTCCTTTCCTCTCTACAGAACAAGCTCCTTGGCATGTTCCAGGCTGTTGGGGCCTCTTCTCCTTTTGCTCCCTGTCCCCCTGGTGTTCAGCTGAACTGAACTGAAGAGGGAGGAAGACTGGGGGTGTGGGCTGTCTCGCCCCTGCAGGAGGGGTGTCACGACAAGCATGGTGTGCTGGAGAACCCGCTGATCCTTTAGGACCACCCAGAGAGGACCCTGCAGTCTCCAGGGTCTGTGAGGAGGCCCTCTGCTCCCCTGAGAGGGTTGCGAGTGGCTACAGGCACCTCCCCTCCAGCCTCAATGACACTGAGAAACCTGTGTGTCTCCTGCCCATTTTCACCTGAGTTCTAGGTGCTAGAGTGCCCCAGGGGACAGCCCCTGCTTCCTGAGGTTTGCACTCAATACAGAGGGTGGGGAGAGAGGGGACCCTTCCTCCTCACCAGCCCAGGCTAAGGGACCTGGCAAACCGCCTCTTTGGAGCCCTGCTCTGGGCCGTTGGCAGCCTCTGCTGGCCGTGCGGGCATCCAGGCAGGTCTGAGTCCCCCTCCAACACCAGAGCACAGAATTCAGTACATAACCGAGTTCTGAGGAGGGCTCAAAGACAAAAAGCGTCATTTTCACAGGAATCCCTGGGCAAAAAGACAAGAAAGTATGATTTCATTTTGGAAATATTCCCATTTCCATGTTCTGGGATTTTGAAGATTGTCTAATTACTCCAGAATGTGTGTTTTTTTTTTCATTTTGAATATTTCATTCTTTAATGATGATAGATACGGTTAGAATACCCAATGACTATGCTATTGTGACCCTCAGGGGGTCAATTATAACCTGACGTCATAAACCACAGCGAAGAGTGCCCTGACACTGGGTGAAAACCTCAGAAAACAAACCAAAGTAGGCAGTGTCACTAAAGGGCCACCCACTGGAAACCAGGGACAAGAGGCATATTTGCGAGGACCCTTCCCTGGCTCTTAAATACTGAAAGATCAAAACCCTTCCCTCCAAACTGATCATCAGGCAGGAGTTCATGGAAGTGGAGCGTGGTGGCCTCCCCTGCAGGCCAGGAGACCCCCAGTCCCTCGGGCCCAGGAGTTCAGGACCAGCCTGGGCAACAGCAAGACCCGCCTCAACAAACAAGACCAAAAATGAAGGCAGGAAGAAAATAACTAATACAATCATTTGAATATGAGGGCATTTACCTTACATCTGATTGATTTCTTGTTTGAATGATACTGATTCTTGAAATGTAAAATAACATGAACTTTCTTGATATCAAATCCACAAATATCAGGTCCTACAAAAAAAATATCAGGTGCTCTCAGTTTTCTTCCATAATGATTGACCACAGGATAACCAACTTTTCTCCTTAGAAATATGAGGCCCAGGAAACTCATATGTCCAGGAATAATCAGATGCTCATGTGAAGATCGGCGGGTGGTGACCGCCTTCTCCCAGTCAGATCTCTTCTCTGGCCTTTGAAGCCACCTTGGACTCAAGGACAAACCAGCACCGAGGGGCTGGTGTGGTGGCTCAGTGGTAGAGCGCTCGCCTAGCATGCACGAGGCACTGGGTTCCATCCCAGAACCACATAAATGGGAAGATACGGTGTCCACCTAAAACTAAAAAATAAATGTTAAAAAAAAACCACCCAGCACAGAAGCAAAGGCAGGCTGACAGTCCAGCAGTGCCCCGCCCCTCCTCAGCCTCAGCCTCAGCCTCAGCCTCCGACTGAAGTTCTTTTCCTTTGTGGAGCTGGGATGGAACCCAGGGCCCTGCGCTTGAGAGGCACACGGTCTGTCACCGAGCTGCTCCCCCAGCCCCTGGCCTGAGGTTCTGACCTGCACCTGGGGCCAGGTGCGGGGAGCAGGCTTCAGAGCTGGAGCCTGGCTCGGCTCATCCCAGCTCTCAACGACTCAGCCTCGCCACGCCATGGTGTCCTCCCTGGTCTGGAACATCAGGATGCTTGCCCAACACTCGGGAGGCCCCGGATTCCACCCCCATTGTGTGTGTGGGGGAATCCAGTCACTAAGGAAATGGAATTCTCCAAGATGGGGCCAGATAAGAGACTGGAGCTCTGAATATGATAAACAAAGTTTATAGGAGGTATCTGGAAAATTCACCAAGATTTCTGAAGGTGTTTACAATTACCCTGCTTTTGCTTTACAGATTAAGCCTTAAGATTGTCCTAAAACAGGGGCTGGAGATGTGGCTCAAGTGGTAGAGCACTCATCTAGCATGCATGAGGCACTGGGTTTGATTCTCAGCACCACACTAAAAAAAAAATAAAATAAAAATAAAGATATTGTGTCCACTTAAAACTGAAAAATAAATATTAAAAAAAAGATTATCCTAAAACATCTTTTTTAATTTTCTTTTCTCCCTGTCTTAGATGGAATTCCACCAAATCCACTGACCCTGGTGGCACCTACCCCTGGGGATTCTGATAGAAAAATCCACTGTGAATACTGTAGATTTCTTCTAGATTGTACTTTTAACATTTCTTGGCAATTTGCAGTGACAAAATTCCAGAATGAATCATAGTAACCCAGGCTGCCTGAAATTACTTTAAGTACGTTATCAATTTGGGGGCTGTGGGTGTAGCTTAGTGATAGAGCGCATGCTTAGCATGTGCCAGGCCCTGGGTTCCATCCCCAGCCCCAAATAGCAAAAACAAAACAAAAAGAACGTTATCAACGGTCCAGAAGCATAAACTACTTTGGAAATAGTGACCTGTGGGGTTGACAAAATACACTAGGTCTGTCTCCCAGCTGCATTCAAAGGACATGTGTTTATAGAATTTCCTTTTCTGTCATCACTGGTCAACATTCCAATTCAATTTTTTAAACAAGAGCTATGGCATGTGAAATATTTGGTTGAAAGTTGGCCTCCTCGGGATTGAGATGTATTTTTCCCTTCAAAATGAGTTAGCATTTCTCTATGTATTCTTCAGCACCTGTATACTTTGAATATTTAGTGAAGGTATAGAACACATCTAAAACTGGCCAGAAAATCTGTACATTTCCATGAATGGCAATAATAAAATATTTAAGCTTGTAATTGATTTGCATAAGGAAATGCAGTAGACAGATGAACTTGGGGTGATCTAATTTTGGGCAAATATTTTTTTTGTGTGTGTGTGTGGTACCAGGGATTGAACCCAGGGGCACTTAACCACTGAGCCACATCCCCAGCCCTTTTTAAGCATTTTTTATTTAGAGACAGGGTCTTGCTGAGTTGCTTAGGGCCTCGATAAATTGCTGAGGCCAGCTTTGAACTTGAATCCTCCTGCCTCAGCCTCCTCAGTCTCTACCAGCATTCCAGGTGTGCGCCACTATATCCAGCTTGGGCAAATAGTTTTAATCAGACTTCTTATTGACAAAACAGGGGCTGTCTCACAAGTTTTGGGGGGGTTTACGCATAACCTGAGATTGCAAACTGAAAGCCTTTGGCAAGGACCCACAGAACATACTTCTCTCTTCCTCACCATCAGCGCTTGGCAAAGCAAGGGCTGGAGTGGAGTGAGCAGGGCAGCACTGTAGGAGAGCTGAGTGAGTGGAGGCAATCTCAAGTTAAAAACAAAAATAATCCAGAAAATTTATTTTAATATTTACTTATTCCGTGGTGCTAGGAGTGGAACCCAGGGCCTTGCCCTTGCTGGGAGAGTTCTCTACCACTGAGCTGCATCCCCATGCCAGGCTTTTTCATCTTTTACTCTGAATTATGCTGCTTCAGAATTCGTAGGCAGCAAACATGCGAAATAGAGTTAAGAGTGATATTTTGGTGAATATTTCTGATTATTTTTGTTTACCAAATCTAGAGGTGAAGCCACCTCTAATTCAGCAGGTATTTCTTTTTCCTAGACAGCTCCAGTGTCTTGTTTTAAGAGGATAATAAATAACGAAAGCAGACGTTTTGGTTTCTTTTTCCTTTTTTGTTGGCGATGGAGCTCAGGCTCTCGCGGGTGCCAGCCGGCACGTGCTCCACCACCAGGTTACACCCCAGCTTTCTTTTTTTTTTCTTTTTTTCAGTATTGGGAATGAACCCAAGGGCATTCTACCACTGAGCTACATCCTCAGTCCTTTTTATTTTTCATTCTGAGACAGGGTCTCGTCAAGTTTCAGATACTAGCCTTGAACTTGCAACCTTTCTGCCTCAGCCTCTCGAGCAGCTGTGACGTCAGTGAAGTCACTGCTCTCTAAGACGACTTGCGGTGTGTGTGGGGGGGAGTATTCTATCCATATCTAGGAATTCACCTAGCACCTAACATCCAATAAAACAGAAAAAAATATATTAACTGTCAAAGTCTGAACCACAGAGATGGTGGTGTTCTGCTATGTCAACTTACCAAACATAATATAGTACTGTGATTTCCCATTGAGGTTCTTCTGATCCAGGTCTGCAGGAAAGATCTTAATGTAGCCCCCGCCGCAGTCCATCTTCTGCTCGTGTTTCACGGTGTACTGAATGACTAGAGTTTTCCCCTTGTTGCTGAACGGTTTGAAGCGTGCAGAGATGGCGTAGAATCGGCCATTCTGAGTGGTCTGCAGACCTTCCAACAGAAAGTACTCATGAAGGATTAGGAATGACATTGTGCTCAGTAAAGCATGGACGCTAACAGATGCCCTTTCTCCACCTGTGATGATCTATGTTCTATTGACAGGGAGCTGCTGTCTACAATGACCTGAATTGACACAGCATGCTGGGGACACATCACTCATAGGTCCCTAGCTTGCACAAAACTCGTATTTTATGCATCCAGATGTTTTTGTACCTCATATATCTTTGTTATGGTATTTGTTTACTTATTTCGGGGGGATGAAACCCAGGGTCTGTGCATACTGAGCAGGCTCTGCCACTGCGCTGCATCCTCAGCCCCACCTCTAATGTTTTAAGTTACAACCTTAAATGACAAATATGGATAGTTATTTTTGCCCCCTCATCTTCTAAGGGGCAAGGATACACAAGGAAGCCTGGGTAGCAGCTGAATGAAGAACAGAAAGAAGCACCCCACGTCTTCTCATCTTAAAACAGCTCAGAAACACAACAGCAGGTGAAGTGACCATGACTGACAGAGCGCTGATGTACAGGAAAGAGCTTCACTGTCCCCAGCTGTCATTTGCAAGGTGGCTTTTTTTTTTTTTTTGGTACTAGGGATTGAACCCAGGGCCTTGTGCATGCAAGGCAAGCACTCCACCAACTGAGCTAGATCCCCAGCCCCACCAGGTGGCTCTTTTCATGAAGACATGGTTCTTTTTATTTATTTATTTATTTTGGTACCAGGGACTGCACTCAGGGGCACTCGACCACTGAGCCACCTCCCCAGCCCTATTTCATATTTTATTTAGAGACAGGGTCTCACTGAGTTGCTTAGTGCCTTGCTTTTTTTTAAAAAAAAATTTACTTTAGTTGTCGTTGGACACAATACCTTTAATTTTTTTAATACCTTTATTTTTACGTGGTGCTGAGGATTGAACTCAAGGCCTCTCATGTGCTAGATGAGTGCTCTATCTCTGAGCCACAACTCCAGCCCCAGGAGCCTCGCTTTTGCTGAGGCTGGCTTTGATGTGATCCTCCTGCCTCAGCCACCCAAGTTGTTGGGATTACAGGCATGTGCCACATGCCCAGATGACCATTCTTCTTCTTCTTTGGGGATGGGGATGGCTCCCAGTGCCTCATGCATGTGAAGAAAGAGCACTATTACTGAGCTATATCCTCAGCTGTGATCCTCCTGTCTCTACCCCCCGCCCCCCAAGTATCAGTGATTACAGGCACATGCCACTGTCCACCATTATCCCATGGATTATTTTTGTGTGTGTGTATGCACACGCAGCACCAGGGCTGGAACCCAGAGCACTGGAATCCAGGGCCGCTAGGCAAGGGCTCTACAACCCCTGAGCTACACCTCAGCCCCTAAATCCTTTTTTATTTTTTTTTTCCCTGTCTTTTCTGATATCAGGGATTGAACTCAGGGGTACTTTTCCATGAAGTTACATCCCCAGCCCTTTTTATTTTGAAACAGGTTCTTACTAAGTTGCTGAGACTGGCCTTGAACTTGTGATCCTCCAGCCTCAGCCTCCCACAGTCACTGGGATTACAGGTGTGTGCCACCACGCCCGGCCCTAAATTCTTTTATTATATTGGAGTTTATTGCACAACCTGAAGACGGCCATTCCTATTGTGACCCACCCTGTGTGATCATCCATGAACCTGGTATTTGGTACTCATAGGTCCAAGTCTTAACTCATGGCTGACTGTCCACTACCACACCTCTTTTCCCTATCCTTCCCTCCTCAGAGGACTCAGGGCACCTTCTCTCCCCCTATAAGCAAGGAAATCTGAAAGTCATGTGGTTCTCCACCTCTCTTGTGTCTTGTCACCCTCCACGAGCACCCCATCCTGTCACCACTTCCCATTTCTGTCTGACTAAATTAGACTCATCTTTTTCATCCATGGCTTTTAAATCTCCACAGGGAAGGATCAGACTGCGCTGAAGAAATGAAAATATTGCACAGAATCTCAGGAATCCAAACTGGAGGAAGGGAAAACACTGTGTGTCAGGGAGCCCAAACAACTCCAAGTGGGAAGTCCTGTCCTTCGACAAGTTTCAGGGAGTAGCCTGTTTATTATCACCCCACTTTTGGCACAGAGCTCATTTTTATTGACTGCTGGGGTCAACATGTATTTTACAAAACAACGTAGACATGACCCAAAGCCAGAGGCTGCGGGACTCACAGGTAGCCTAGGCTAACACGGCTAACACAGAGGTGACCGGGAAGGTGGTAAAGAGGGAAACCACATCTAAATCAGTGGTTGAGGGGCTGGGGTTGTGGCTCAGTGGTAGAGCGCTCACCTAGCATGCCTGAGGCCCTGGGTTCGATCCTCAACACCACATAAAAATAAACAAACAAAATAAAGGTATTGTGTAAAAACAAACAAACAAACAAAAAAAACACCAAAAAAACAACCTTATAAATCAATCAATCAGTGGTCGAGACCTGGGGAGGTAGGTGGTCAGTAATACAGCACTTGCCCAGCATGTGCAAGGCCCTGGGTTCCATCCTTGCCACTGGAAGAACAAAAACTGAAGTTGGCCAAAATCTTCTGCATGTCCAGGGAAGACATATTTTAGACCTTGTGAGCTACTCAATCTCTGAGCCAGCGATGACTTTGATGTTGAAGCACTAACGTGGCTAGTGAGTCAGTAGGGTGGTGTGTGCCTGTAATCCCAACAACTCAGGAGACTAAAGTTGAAGGATAGCAATTTGAAGCCAGCCTCAGGAACTTAGCAAGACCCTGTCTCAAAACAAAAAATCAAAAGGGCAGTGGATATGGTTCAGTGGTAAAGCACTCATCGTCCAATGTCTGGGCTATTATGTGTGGAAACACCCATGTGGCTGTGTGAAACTTTAGGGATGCCAAACTTTCACGTATTCCATTAAAATTTACATCATTTTTACAAATTAGCAAGTATTATTCCCTTTTTGTTTTTTTTTGGCCCTACCAACTAAAAAATGTAAAAGTTATTCAAAAAGAGTTGGTAAAACATCTGTAGTGCATCCACCTTTGACTATTAGATATGAGAAAAAGCCAAAATAAGCCAGCTGTGATGGTGCATGTCTATTAATTCTAGCTACTGGAAAGGCCAAGGCAGGAAGATCACAAGTATGAGGCCAGCCTGGGCCATTTAAAGAGGCCCTGACTTAAAATAAAAAATAAATAAATAAAAATAAATGGAAAAGCAAAAGGAAAAGGAAAAGCCAAAATAGAGGTTTCCCTTGGGCATGAGAAACTAACCGCTGGAGTTTCAGTAGGGTTCTTGACCTGGATGTACAGATGTTGAAAGTCGCGGTGTTGCAGTCCTGCGGTGTGCGCACTTGACAGCAGGCAACTTTTGCCTCCACTTTTTTCTTAACGTGAAAAATAAAAGTGGAAGGAAGTGCGACTCGGGAGGCTGAGGCAGGAAGATCTCGGGTTTAAAGTCAGACTCAGCAACTTAGCAACTTAGCCAGACTGGGGATGCGGTTCACTGGTTAAGCGCCCCTGGGCTCAATCGGTGGTGCAAAAAAAAAAAAAAGGGAGTATCCCCTCGGTGGGCAAGGCCCTCCTCTCCAAATGCTCATGAAGCTGGATGACTAGGGCAAGTATGAAAAGAATTTTTAAACCAGGCAAGGAGGCGAGGAAAATCCCACTGAGGCTTAGTGGGTGTAGGAGCGTTATTTCTGCATCACGTCCACCTTGGAAGGTCGCTCGATGGGGTTTAACGCTTGGTTCTGTTCTCCCCTGATTCTACACTAACCTTTGTCTTTCTCTTTGTGACCATAAAACTTCCCCGACGACACTCTAAAATGCCCAAACTGGGAGTCATTGGTGGACTGCACCCATCGGTTTCTCCAGCGCTCTGTGGGAGGAAACACCAGTGAGGGCGGGAAGTGTGTGGACCTGGGTCCAGGGCAGGGAGAGCGGCCCTCCAGGCTCGGCCCCTGCCCACCCCGCGGCGACAGGCCCCGGGGAGCTTACGGCCCCGCCACCGCCGGCATTGCCTCTTCACCTCCGTCCAGAAATTCCTCCTGGAAGTAGACAGTGGCCAGCGCCAGGCGCAGCGCGCAGACCGCCCAGATCAGGACACGGGCGCGTGCCATGGGGCATGCGCGGCGCTCCTCCTCTTGACCGCCCCTGTCCTCCCAGCGGTCTCTGCAGCGAGCCAGGCGCGTCGCCTCAAAACTACATCTTCCGTCACACCTCGCGATTGTGACCCGAAAGCACCTGGGTCGTCGGCGGCCGGGTGCGCCGGACACGCCCTGGAACTACCACTCCCATGATGCCTCGCGATTGTGACCCGGGGCCACCCTGCTCGCGGGAGCGCGGTGGCCTGTGGGAAGTGTAGTCTCTTCAGCCCGGCGCGGTTGCCAGGGCAACGGTACCCTAGGGCCGGACGGCGGGGCGGGAGCGTGGCGCCGGGTTCCACCGATAAACCGGCGTGGAAGTAGGTCTGCGGGGCTGGGCGGACGGCGACGGGTGGGCGCCCGGCTGGCTAGGGGGGCTGCGAGGAGATGGGGCGCGATCCGCGGTTGGGCTGGGCCTGCGGCGGGAGGGTGGCCCCGCGCGCGGCTGCCCTGGGTCCGGAGCCCTGAGCGGGGTCGGATGCGGATGGCCGTGAGGCCGGGAAGAGCGGACAGGCCGAGGCGTCGGTGTTTCCAAGTTTAGTTGTTGTCACAACTTTACGAGGCACGTTCACGCGCCGTGCCAGTCGCCCCGGCCTTGGCGGTCCACCCCGGCGTTCACCCCCGGCAGCTGCTGACCGGCGGCTTTCCTCGGGCGAGGCGCGGGCCTCGGGCGGCACTTGTTCCTGGTGCCGAGGAGTGAACACTGCATGGGCCACGGGCCGGCCTTCGCTTGCTCATGAGAGGGCATTGGGCTTCTTCCCACTTTCTCTCTCTTGCAAATAATTCTTACGACCATTTATTTGCATGGGAGTGGAACTGCAGGATCTTATGGTGACTCCAAGTTTAGCCCCCCAGAGGAAATGCCAAACTTTTCCAAAGTGATGGCTGCACCATTTTATAACCCACCACCACCACCAGACTATGAAGATTCAGGTTTCTTTACAGCCTCATCAGCATTCCTTATTGGTTCTGTCTCTGTATATAGCCCCCAACCCCAGTGCTGGAGATTGAACCCAAAGGCGCTTCACCCCTGAGCTACATCCTCAGCCCTTTTAAAATTTTTTGTTTTGAGACAGGGTCTCCCTAAGCTGCTTAGGGCCTCGCTAAATTGCTGAGGGTGGCCTGGAACTTGCGATTCTCTTGTCTCAGCCTCCGAAGTTGTTGGGTTTATAGGCATATGCCACCACACCCGGCTCCCCTTTTAATTTTTTTGAAGCAGGGTGTCCTCAGTTTTCCCAGACTGTTTTTTCCCCCCTGGAGCTGGGGATTGAGCCCACAGATGTTTTGCTACTGAGCTATACCCCCAATCCCTTTTATTTTGAGACAGGATCTCACTAAGTCATCAAGGCTGCCCTCAAACTTGCAATCCTCCTGTCTTGTCCTCCTGAATCACTGGGATTACAGGCATGTGCCATCATGCTTGGCATCTTGAACAAAATCTTAAGGGCTGGGTTGAACACTTTTTTGCTACACAGAAAATGCTTGTGCACATTATTTAAAGGTGTAGAAGATATGAGCTGCCGGATTTAGCAAACAAAAACACAGGGCACACACTTAAATTCCAATTTCAGATAATATTTAGTATAAAAATATTTGGGTCTTTTTCCCCCTAGTGTTGGGGATAAAACTCAAATTCTTGGCAAAGGTAGGCATGTACTCTACCATTAAGCTACATTCCCAGAATTATTTTTTTTATTAACTACACATGACATTACAATGATCTTGACAATTCATACATTTGAAACAATTGGAGTATAATTTCTCAATTTTCTGATTATACAGATTGCAGAATCACACTGGTCATAGAGTCACCTATATACATACAGCAATCATAATGTCTATTCTATTCTGCTGCCATTTTTTTTTTTAAGACAGAATCTTGAGTTGACTGGGTTAGACTTGAACTTGAGATGGTCCTTCCTCAGCCTTCAGAGTTGCTGAGATTATAGGTGTATGTCACCATAAGAATGGCTATGTCATTCTTTTTTTAAATATATATATATTTAAAAAAAATATATATATATTTTAGTTTTAGGTGGACACAATATCTTTATTTTATTTTTATGTGATGCTGAGAATTGAACCCAGTGCCTCATGCATGCTAGGCGAGCGCACTACCACTTGAGCCACATCCCCAGCCCTATGTCATTCTTTTAAAAAAAATATTAACTAATTACTTGAAATTCCACTTTAACTAGGTGTCCAGTATTTAATCTGGCAGTCAAGTAAGATCAATTTCTAAGTAGACAGGCATGGGAGAAAAGACCTCTTCAGGTGTCAAGGTGAATCAAGAAACATTTTTTAGTGAAATTTACCATCACATGTCCTTGTGAAGTGACCCTGTGGTTAGGAGGCATGCTCCTGTGCCTCGTCTCTCTTCGCCTCCTGTATTCCGTGGTCTGTGTGCTATTTACTGGGCCTCACCAGGTCTCTGTGGATGGGTTTGGGTTTGGTGAATGCAAACACTGTGGCCAGTCTCCTTGAATGGGCATCTCTGTGCTGGGAGAGCACCACTGTAGGTACGTTCCCATGTGTGGACTTGGCAGGTCACAGCGCCCATGTGCTTTTCATTTTGATTGCTGTTGCAAAGTTCCTTGCCAACGGGGCAGCAGATACATACGGCTATGGTTTGGTGTGGTTCAAGTGGGTATCCCAGTGGTTCATGTGTTGAAATTTAATCTCCATTGTGAGGTATTTTGAATATTGAGACTGTCTCCAACTATGATGTTCAGAGGTAGTTAGGATTAGGTACAGTCACCAAAGCGGAGCCCCCGTGGTTGAAAACTGGTGGGCTTGAAGAGGAGACTAAATGGACTGCAGAGCAGGGGGTGGTGCATTCATCTGTTTTCTGTTGCTATAATAAAATACTTGAGCCTGGATAATCTGTAGAGGAAAGAAATTTATTTAGCTCACAGTTCAGGGGCTGGGAATCCAAGACTGGGCAGCTGCCTGTATGAGGGCCTGTGGTACTTTATAAGAAGGTACAAAACAGAAGAGAATGAGTACATGGAGAAGAGACGCAGCATGACGGGTAGGGCTCTTTCTGTCACCACCCACGTCCAAGGGGATGAACCTAGTTCTGCTGGAGCAGCATGAATGTGTGCATGTGTGTGCGTGTGTGTGTGTGTGTGTGTGTGCGTGTGTGTGCGTGTGTGTGTGTGTGCGTGTGTGTGGTGCTGGGGATGGAACTAGGGCCCTTCACATGCCAGGCAAGTGCTGTAGCACGGAGCTGCCCCCGAGCCCACGTAATCCCTCTCGCCGACCCACTCCCCTGCTCCCAACGCCACCACAGTGGCGGTTTATTTCAACTTAGTTTCGTGGGGAACAGACCGTCCCCAGTCCTCAGCAGGCGCTGTGATCTGTGGCCAGGGGAGGTGTTCTTACAAGCCCCTGTCTGTCTTTCCTTCTAGAATGGCTTTCTTAAGAAAAACCAGCCCACCTGCTCACGGTGTTTTTAGTGACCTCAGTGACATCTCCTCAGAAGATTCAAGGATGGAAGACATCAGAAACTTGAAAGTCAGTAGAAGTTTTACCCAAGCAGCCTCCGGTCAAAGCAGATTTCTAAAAAGAAACCAAACTATCGGTGAGAAACACTTCAACCTGCAAGACAGTGCTGCCCTGGGCAGTGGGGCCCAGCTGACCCTGGGCAGACCCCTCGCCACCGCCTCCAAGATCCGAGCCAGCGCCGCGCTCATGAGGCTGGCCCAGCTGGAGACCAAGATCCGGAGTCGGCAGAGCGCGCCCAGGAGCTGGTCTGACACGGAGTCTGACTCGCGGCTCCTGGAGGACGGTCTTGCCGAGAGCGTGGACAGATCCGCCCCGGGGGCCACCTCGGGCCCTGCCTCGCCGCACACCCACAGAACTTTCCAGAAACAAGCCCGTGAAGCCCCCCTCCCCAAGAGCAGTGTGCAGAGTGGGCGGGCCAGCAGGTTCCTGAAGAAGAAACAGCCACCTGTGGGTAGCGCGGCCCCCGAGGCCCAGGCTGGGAAGGAGAGGAATCTTCAAACACCCAGACAGAAAGAACCTGCTAGAAAATTTGATTCCCCAGACAGCGACGAAGAGGAAATGAAAGAATTGCTAGGAAGCTTGATGGAATCTTCTAGAGAAAAAGAAACAAGCCTGAATCAGAGGTTCACCAGCACTGCCGTCAGTGGGAAGGAGCGCGTGAAACCATCGGCGGTGAGGTTTTCATTTGTTTGTTTGAGTCCCCTCTTTGTCACTGCCACCATGATGTCATAGCATGACTTTTATAGTGATGTCACCAGAAGCTATTTGAGAGAAGAGCTTGATGAGAAAGGGTAGGGTTTGGGCCAATCGCAAGTATCTGTTGAGGGTCTGCATGGTGCGGGGTGGCGCTTGGGACACTTTGCGCTGTGTTGGTGACACAGCGTCTGTGCCTGGTGTACACCACGGCACTTTGGGTCATTTGGTTTGGTTCTGGAGACCTCTTGCTGTGTTGCCCGGCTGGCCTTGAACTCCTGGGCTCAGGCGTTGTCCTGCCTCAGCCTCCCGGGTGCTCGGGTCCGCAGGCGTGTGCCACTGTGCTGCAGACAGCCTTCACTCTGTGCCCCTCATCAAACAGCAGCAGTAACCAGTTCTCTGAGGACGTGGAGGAAATCAAACTCCGTTTCTCCTCCTGCCCTCCCACGGCACAGACCGCCTCGCTCTCTTTCTCTTTTTTTGCATTTCTGGGGTTGGAGCCAGGGCCTCAGGCATGCTGCAGAACCACTGAGCTGCACCCAGCCCTCGGTCGCTTCTGTGACCCCCAAGAGGTGTGGAGGCTGCGGTGTGCCAGCCCCCAGGCAGCCCCTCTGCAGCAGACCCCGGGGCTGTCCTCGGGTTCCGTTCAGTTTTACCTGGAGGTTGCGGCAGGTTGCACAGGTTGGGGGGCGCTGCACCCCAGACTGTCTCCCACTTCAGACATCGGTGACAACTTTGTGCCTCTAGAACTTCCACAAATTTGGGTTCCCAGAGCCCCTTCTTTGTGCTTAACTTGCTACAGTGGCTCACAGAACTCGGGAAAACACATTACTGGTTTATTTTAAGAACATTTTCTTTCCCCCTCTCTTTCCCTTCCTCCCTCCCTTCCTTCAGTGCTGGGCATGGACAGCAGGGCCTTGCACAAGGCAAGTGCTCTACCACTGAGCCACAGCTCCTGCAAAGGGTATTTTAAAGGATACAAATATCCAGGGTGAGGTCGGGAAGGGTCCTGAAGGTGGAGTTGGGGTGCCTGTGGACGAGTTCTTGCTCAGCTTCCTGTTGGCCTCCGTGTGTTCAGCTTTCTGCAAGTTCTCTGCACCCTGTCCCTTGGGGTTTTATGGAGATTTTATTGCACAAGCATAATTGAAACATAGATAACTGCGCAGAAACCTGAGTAGACAAAAAGGTTAGATCTAAAGCTAAAAGACGGGTGGGAGCTAGGCTTGGCGCACACCTGTAATCCCAGGTATTCAGGAGGCTGAGGCAGGAGGATCACAAGTTTTAGGCCGCTGGCCTCGGCAATTTATTGAGACCCTAAGCAACTTAGTGAGATCCTGTCTCAAAAACTAAAAAGAGCTGGGGATGTGGCTCAGGGTGCAGTGCCCCGAGTTCATCCCTGGCACCGAGGGGGAGAATTCCACTGTTGAGGGGGACCAGTGTGTCTTTACCCTTGTGTCTGTTGAATGACTCCTGGGTTGTTTCCGGCTTTGGGCTGTCATGAATGACAGCTTTGGGCTGCTATGAACATGTGCATGGCCGTGTCTGAGTCCCTGTTTCCACCGGCACACCTAGGAGGGGATTGCTGGGCCATACGGTAATTCTGTTTAAATGTTTTTGAGGACCTGCACCGTCTTAGCCCCCTTGGCCCTGTGTGGGTGTGGCATTCCTTCAGGTCTTGGCCAACACTGCGGGTGGTGAGCTGTGTAGAAAGGTGTGCTTCAGCGAGGAGGATCTGCACGATGGTTTGGGTGCTTTTGGCGTCCTGGGCTGTCAGAGATTACCTACTCTTGGGGCTGGAAGAACCTTAGTTTAGAAAATGTGTGCGCTGGATATGGTGGCACATGCCTGTAGTCCCAGCTACTGGGGATTCAAGGCCAGCCTGGCAACACAGTGAGACCCTGTCCCAAAATAAAAAAAATAAAAATAAAAAAAGAGCAAGAGTGATTAACAGTACGTATTTGAAAGCCAAGTGACCTTTTTGATTGCCTGTGGCACATTCTCTAATCCCCTTACCTCATCTCAATGGGCCTTGACTGGGCTGTGAGAAGAGGGGGAGGGCACAGAGGTCAAGGCTGAATTGCTGAAGTCCTGGTGTCGCTCCCACCAGCTCACCCTTGTGGCATAGGAGTTAATTTATCATGAGTTTGCTAATTTCGTGTCTTTTCTTTCACCAAAGTAGGGTCAGATCCCTGCCCCGCCCCGAGCCCCTCTGTCCAGAGCGGAGCTCTCCAGCTCAGAGCCTTCCCAGACCCTGGGCCTGTCCAGCACGCGGTCAGCGCGCCGGGGGTCAGCGCGCCGGGCCCTCCGCAGTACTCGGTCGGGAACCTGCTCCCCGCAGACTCCGGCAGCTCGCGACACAGCCTCCCACGACACAGCCTCCCACCACACAGCCTCCCACCACACAGCCTCCCCCGCCTCCTCGATTTCCATCCCCGACGCGGTTTCAAGATCAAAGTCTTCAGCCATGGGTCACGTCCAGCTCGCGTCTTCCTCCGGGAGGAGCGAGCCCGGGCCCGGGGGAGCCTCGGACCCCGAAGCCTCCGACGACAGCCTGAACGGTAACCCCTAACCCCGGCTCTACGGAGCCCCCCCCCGGGCAGGGCGGGGCCAGGGGCGGGGCCAGGGACTGAGCCCCGCCCACCACCAAGTCTGTTTAAACAACCCTCCGAGCCCAGCGGTGGTCTGTGGGGCAGCTGGGTCGGAATAGCAGACTGTGACTGAGCAACAAGAGGTCGCACTGAGGGGTCAGGGTCCCAGCCTGGACCGGCTCAGCGCGAGGGGCGCCTCGGGGCGTAGGGATGGCCCCTTCTTGCTGGGCCCTCACGCGGTGGGCAGAGCGAGTTCTCTGGTCTCCTCTTGTCCTTATAAGGACACCAGTCCCACTTCGGGGGTTCTATTCTCCTGACCTCCTCCAAACCCCATTACCTGCCAAGGACCTCACCTCCACAGACACCTGGCCCCTCAATACCCCTTAGACTTCGCAGGTCAGAAATATTTATTTGGGAAAAAATTGACCTCTCTACTGAATATGCAGAGACTTCCCCCCTGTCCTTACACTGCAGATCATAGCACTGTCTACAGGGCATCCACAGAGGGTCAGCACTCCCAGTGCTTTGGAGACAATTTAAAGTATATGCGAACGTGTGTTTGAGTTCTGAGCAAATACTGGGCCCTTTTCTATAAGGGACTTGAGCAGCCAGATTTTGGTTTCCGCAGGATCCTGGAGCCAGTCTCCACGCTTCTGAGGGACAGCTGGACCATTGCAGCAGAGCTCTCGTCTTCAACAGAGATTTAGAGGGTGCACAGACGTCCAGCCCTTCCCATCCCAGTAACCCTGCCCCATGATGAAGCAGTAACTTGGGGGACCCTTCTAGAGGCACAGACATCGAAAAGGCAGCTCAGCTCTTTGTCATTGAGCTCCGGCCCTCCAGCCCTTTGTATGTTTTTGAGACAGGGTCTTGCTGAGGCTGGACTCAAACCTGTGATCCTCCTGCCTCAGCCTCCCGAGTCACTGGGATTACAGACATGCACCCCTGCCTCCTTTTTAAATTCAGAAAAGAAAACAAATTTCTAAGAAGTCAAAAGTAAACATTTTTGTTACTTCAACATTATTCAACATTATTTTTAATACCTAAGAGCAGAAGAGGAGGAAAAAAGCCTTGAAGTCAACATTTATTTTTTCCCTCTGAGTTGCTTTATCACCAAATCAAAGTTAAGTAATTGTCTCATAAGTGCCCGATGTGTGGCAGAGGGTGCCAGGAGTCATGTTGGCAAGGACAGAACAAACAAGCAAACATATTCCCTGCCCTCCAGGGACCAGCACGGCCATAAGTGGAGTCAGTCCAAGATTTATGGGCAAGTCAGGCCTGTGCTTCCAGCCATCTAGGAGGCTGAGGTAGGAGCTTGAGGCAGGAGGCTGGCTTGAGTCTGGGAGTTCAAGGCCAGCCAGGGCAACTTGGTAGGGCCTGTCTCAAAAAAAAAATAAATAAAGTGGTGGGTAAGTTAAAGTCCCATGACTCGGCAAGCAAAGATCTGCTAGGGTGAGTGGTGAAGCGTCCCCAACAAGGGTCTGTCCCTTCCAAGTGGCCCTGCCCAGCCACAGAAAAGCAGGTGTGTTCAAGGCTGTGTGTCTTAGTTTTCTTCTGCTGTAATAGAGGATCACACACTGGGTAATTTATAGAGAATGGAGGTTCATCCGGCTTATGGTTCTGGAGGCTGGAAGTCCAAGATGCAGGGGCTGCCTGGTGTCTTGCTGCTTCTTTCTGCAGCATCCCAAGGTGGAAGGCCAAGGGAAGCTGAGAGCCAGCAAGCAAGAGGGGGTGGCAGCTGTGGTGCACATTATAACCCTAGCCACTTGGAAGGCTGAGGCAGGAGGATTGAAAGTTTGAGGCCAGCCTCAGCAACTTAGGCCCTGTCTCAAAAATTAAAGAAGGGCTGAGGGTGTAGCTCAGTGGTAAGTGCCCCTGGGCTCCATCCCCAGGACCAAAAAAATAAAAAAGGGTTGGAACTCACTTTTATAATGAACCTACTCCTGAGCTACAGACATGGATGAGGCGGAGTCGCTAGCACCTGATTGCATCTTGAGTGCCAGCTCCCAACATGCTGCATTGGGCATCAGGCACCAACACAGGGTTTTGGGGACACGTTCACTGAAGCATCATGGATGTGAGGAAACTCCCTGGAGCCCCTCCAGGGCCCCTCCTGCCAGATGCCACTTGGCATTTACGTTCCTCACTCTGATCCTTAGTCGTACACATGAGGAATCCAGCACGAGGGGCTGGATAGTGAGTGGGGTCCTCAGCTTGTCCCATGTCACCTTCACAGATGAGAAGGTGGGCCTAAGCTGGTGGAGAGCCAGCACTGATGCCAGGCCCCGGGTTCCTACCTCCTGCCATCTGTCATTCTGCTCTTTCCCTTTGGTGGTGGTCTCCCCTGGTGGCCAAGTGTCTCCTTCTGTCCTTCAGCTGCAGCCTTGAGGGACATAGTGGGGGACGGTGAGTCCACGTTTGGTGGACGACCAGCCTCCCCTCCAGCAAGCTGTGCCATCTCAGGCTGTTTGGGCCTCAGTCTCCTGGTCTGTAAAACGGGCATCAGTGAAGTGGTCCACGTGAAGCCCCTCGGCTGGTGCTGCCTCACAGCGGTGCCTGTGAGAGTCGGCTGCGGTAACCATATGGGCACCCAGTGCCACTGGTGTCCCAGAGCACCAGTCTCAGACACCCGATGCTGCCTTTGCCCCTGACCACCAGGAGGTCTTAGTTCACAGGCTTTGCCTCCTAAAACGTGGTGGCGCAGGTCTTTGTACCCACCTGAGCGGCGTTGCTGGGGGAGTCAGGAGGGTTGCCGCCCCTGGGCTGGAGCCAGGGCCTTTGCCAGGCTGTGGCCAAGCCCCTGCCCTCTGCGTCTCCCTGGGCCTTTCGCTGGCTGTCAGGTGAGAACCTGGGCACTCGGGGCCACATCTCACCTGGGCCTGCGGGCCCTCCCTCCACTGCCAGGCCGCCCCTTGCTGTCCAGCCCTCACACCGCGGCATTTTTGTCACCAGTTCCCTGAGGTGCCTTAGGTCATCTGCTCTGTCTAGACTGGGGCCTGGAAGCCTGTTGTCTGTTTTTATAGTTTTTATAGTTTATCAGAAGGATCCACGCCCTTAGGTGACACATAATCTGTGACTGCTTTCACACTCTTCTGGCTGAGTAGAGTTGTCCCTTGGTACCTGCAGAGGGTTGGTTCAGGACCCTACAGATATTCCAGTCCCTTCTGTCAGAGGGATGGGAGGAACCTCCGCACATCCTCCTGCACACTGAGCCACCTCGGGAGGGCTTGGTCCTGTACGGTGTAAATGCTGTGCAATACTTGATACAGTGCATTGTTTTCTTTCATTTTTTTGGGGGGGGTGTAAGGGATTGAACCCAGGGGCGCTTAGCCACTGAGCCAGGTTTTAATTTTTCTGTTGTAGTTGTGGATGGACAGAATGTCTTTATTTTGTTTGTTTATTTTGTTTGTGGTGCTGAGGATTGACCCCAGGGCCTCACACATGCTAGGCAAGTGCTCTGCCACTGAGCCCCAGCCCCACCCCTAGCCCCCTTTCTATTTTTTATTTGGAGACAGGGTCTTGCTGAATCGCTTAGGGCTTTGCTAAGTTGCTGAGGCTGGCTTTGAACTAACTCACGATCCTCCTGCCTCAGCCTTCTGAGCCTCTGGGTTACAGGTGTGGGCCACTGCGCCGAGTAACTGTATTGTTTTAGGATTAATAACAAGAAAAAAGTTCATGTGCGGGATAAATGCATCCCCCAGATACATTGATCTGACTTCCATGGACTCCAAGCTGCAGAACCCACAGATACAGAGGGCCAACTGCAGTCACAGCTGTACCCCCAAAACTGAACGTATTTCCCCTGTAACCCCTTAGAGAAAAGCTGCTGACCCTGGGCTGCGAATCGAGGTCAGGGACTGAATGTCTTCATGCTTCCTAAGCATTTGTGGAGTGAATGAAGGAGTCAACGCTGCCTTACTAATTTTTAAATTACAGATTTTAGAATCAATATTTTATCCCTTGATGATCTGTCTCCGGCCGTCAGTGAGAGATCAGACTTGGAACAGAAGGTAAGTACATTGGCGTTATTTTATTTATTTATTTATTTATTTATTTTTTTAGTTTTTTGTGGTGCTGGGGAGGGAGCCCAGGGCCTCAGGATTGCTCGATGATGGCTCTACCACTGAGCCACAGCCCCCGGCCGTGGTCCTTCTAGATTGTAGAGAGTCTGGATGGGAGGTTTTGTTCAGGCCAGTGGTCCTGCGTGCGGCACGTTGGCACACCTGGGGACACTTTGGTGGTTAGGATGGGGGAGCGGGGGGTGGATGCTGGGATGCACTCAGGGTCTTGGAGAGCACAGAACCTTCTGGTCCCAGGCGTCGGGTCATGGCAGTCCAGGGACTCTGGTGTTGGCGGTAACAAGCCCAGCAGGTGAGCAGCTGATCCCAGCCACCCCCCTCAGAGCACCCCAGAGTCACGTCCAGGCTGAGGCAGCCCCGTGTGTCCTGGTGGTGGTGACTTTCGTGTAACCACCTGCACGATCAAAAGCACGTCTCCATGATAGTAGGACGCCATTACGTTTCCCACGTGTGCCGCCTGAACGTGCCCCACGTCATGAGGCTCGCGACTCTCACCCTTTAGAAAACCCTGCGCTAAACATCTCTGGGGGCCTGGGGTGGGGTGCACTCCATGGTCGTGCTCAGCACGCCGAGGCCCTGGGTTCCAGCCTCGGCACCCCCCCAACTCCAGGGGGACCAGTGTACCCTCCCAGGGGACGGCTGAGGTGTCCTGCTCACGCAGATGTGGTATCCTTAGGAGACTCATTTTCCAGTGACTTCTGCCATCCTTCATTTTAGGAAGGTGCCACTCAGAGGGCGAGAGCGCCGGGCAGGAGCCGCCCCGACCAGACACCTGCCACACGGGACGCACCGAGCCATGCCCTGCCCAGGGGCTCAGCATTTCAGGGAAAGGCCACCTCTGTGGTTGGGGACGAGGGCCTCCCCACTGAAAGTGAGGTCTCAGAGCGTCTGAGTGCCAGCCTGGCCTCTGCCGCCCAGCAGGACAGTGTGTCCAGTGCCAAGCCGTCATCCGAGACGCCCACAGAGGACAGCGTGGGCTCGGCTTATTCGGAAGATTTTGAAAGCCCGCCGAGTCCCCCGGCCTCCGAGCCGACGGCTCCTTCCGAGGCAGCTCTGGACGGAACGCTGGCCACGGTGTCGGAGTGCTGCAGGAGTCTGAGGACAGACCCCCCCCAACCCCCCAGGGCTAGGAAGAAGGGCAGCCGGGGCGCAGAGAGGGTCGGCGTGCGGGAAATGGCCGTGCAGACCCTGGACCCGGCCTTCACCTACCAGTGGACCAAGGGTGAGTGTGGCGGCCTTTGGGGACCCGGGTGGCCAGGACAGGTGCTGGGGGGTGACCTCTGGCTTCCCGGGAAGCACGTGGAGAGCCGGGTTGCTGGGATCTGGCTCTTGTCATCAGCCAGCTTCCAGGTGGGGCTTGGCACGCGCTCCTCTTTCCTAGATGAGGGGCAGCTGCTGGGGGTTTCCAGTGTCCCCAGCTCTGAGGCGTACAGGAACGTTCCAGAACCAGACACCACGCAGCCCTTCCTAACCAGGCAGTTCTGACACTAAAGGCAGTTCTGGTGCTGGGACCGGGGGACACAGTGCTCCAGGCATCTGCTGGGCAGAGGCCAGGGTGCTGCTCAGCACCCTCCAGCACCCAGGACGCCCAGTCCAGGGAGTGGGGAAGCCCCGGCGAGGAAGGGTGCCCATCAGCCTGTGTCCCTTAGGATCTGCCTCCAGCCCCAGGGGCCTCCGGGCGCTGGCTCAGGGTTAGCGGCTCTGAACTCCTGTGCTCCTAGCTCTCGGCTGCACCCTCGTGGCCGCTCCCTCCTGCTCTCACCGTTTCTACTCTGTGCTTTACAAGGTCGGGAAGGGACACTGCTCCTCACCCAGTGTGACTTTCCAGGCGCTTCTCTCATCCCGGTTTCAGGCCGGCTCTTCCTGTTAATCCTCTGCTTCCTTTCCTGATCTAGATGGCCGTCTAGACTGGCTCCTCCCTGAGCTGCGCCCCAGTCCTTCTGTTTTTTTGACAGGGTCTAAGTGGCTGAGGCTGGCCTTGAACTTGCAGTCTTCCTGCCTCAGTCTCCTGAGTCATGAAAACGTGTTGTAAACCCGGGGTCCGGGACTCAGGAACCTTTGTGTCCCCGCCGTGTCCACGAGCCATGTCTGATCACATAGCCAGTGGGGGGCACTTCTGTCCATACTGTGGCAATTGAGATGCTACTATGAAGAGTCAGGGGACTGTTTTGCTGGGCTGGGCCTGAGGGCGAGAGGGGAGAGGAAAGGCGGTCTCTGGGAAGCTGGCTGGGCAGCGTCCAGGGCACCCATTCTTGAGTCACTAGACACCTGGTGGAAGACAGGCCGGCATGATGGACACCTCCAGCCACTATGAGCTGCATTGGTCACGTCAACCAGTGGCTCCTTTGTTGAACCACCGAAAAAGCTTTGGGAAAAACTTAGAGAGAAAGATTCTAAAAGCAAGCACGTGGCCATCGTGTTAGATAGAGGAGACGGGTGCGTGGGCTGCACTTCAGTTCCTACTTGGGGACAAGAAGGTTGCAATCCCAGGCCTCGTCACTCACCCCTTTCCTCTTTGTGCTTGGGACAGCGGCTGGGATGGCGGCCATTGGGCCTGCCCTCGGGAGTTCCTATGTCGACCCAGTGCCCATTGCCAGCCACGTCGTCAGTGCCGATGCCATAGAAGGTAGGAGCCTGGTTGGCGGTGGCGGTCCTTCCTGGGGAGCCTGGTTGGGGTCCTTCCTGAGGAGCCTGGTTGGGGTCCTTCCTGGGGAGCCTGGTTGGGGTCCTTCCTGGGGAGCGGGCGCATCTCTTGGAGGTGTTTCACTTCTTTAATGCTGGGTTAAAGAATCCATGGGTGGAATTATTTCAGTGGTTAGTAGGATCCCCAATGGCAGCCTGAGGGTGTCTGCGAACCTTCTGTCACCTGCAAAAGGACACCCATGTCCAACAGGCGGCCTAAAGGCAATTCACTGTGCTAGGGTGCGGCTCAGGGGAGGAACACTGGCCTAGCATGTGCGCGGCCCTGGGTGCCATCCCCAGCGCCATCAAAACACCCGCCCTCAATAATTCCCCCCAGCTCACCCCTTCTGCCTCAGCAGATGCTTTTATTTGAATTCTGTTTGAGCTTTTTGCACATATTTAGTTTTATCCCCTAAAGACACCGGCCAGTGCTGAGTCACAGCAACAGGACATGGCCTTTGCGTCCTGGGCTGAGACTGAGGAGTCCTTGTGGTCTAGGAAGAGTGCTAGCCACCTGGAGGTGAGGAAGGTGCCCCAGTTCAGACCTGCCAGAGATCTTACACACACACACACACACACACACACACACACACACACACGTATATTTTTGGTACAAGGATTGAACCCAGGGGCACTGGACCACTGAGCCACATCCCCAGCCCTTTTGTAAATATTTTATTTAGAGACAGGGTCTGACTGAGTTCTGAGGCTGGCTTTGAGTTTGCTGTCCTCCTGCCCCAGCCTCCCGAGCTGCTGGCGTTCCAGGCGTGGCCACTGCTCAGCAGTCTTAATACTAAATAGACAGCAGAATTTTTGTTTTTTATCAGATTTAATATTTTTAGTTAAATGTCAGCTGTTTGTTTTGTGGTGCTGGGGGTGGAACCCAGGGCCTTGTACTTGCTAAGCAAGAGTCCTACCCGAGCTACAAACCCAGCCCCAATTTTTAAAAAAATATCTTTTAGTTGTCAGTGGTCCTTTATTTTACTTATTTATATGCAGGTCTGAGAATCGAACCCAGGGCCTCACACGTGCTAGGCAAGTGCTCTACCACTGAGCCCCAGCCCCAGCCTTAGCCCCAATTTTTTAATTTAAAAATTTTATTTATATTTTCAGAAAATGTGTTTTTAGCTAGGCACAGTGGCACACACCTTGGTCCCAGCCACTCAGAAGGCTGAGGCAGGAGCATCAGGTGAGCCCAGGAGTTTGAGCCCAGACTGGGCAACAGAGAGACTAGCTCTTAATATTTTTTTGTCGTATTAAGAAACCTTAAGTGTGACATCCACACACACTGTCACAGTGTGACAGAATGGAGACGGGGGTGGCAGTGGTCTCTCCAGGAGCAGCCCCACAGTGCCCAGTGCAGGGGCTGCAGGGCTGGGGTCCCTGGAGAGCCGCTGAGTAACGAGGGGGTGCAGTCCTGACAGCCTACAGCCCTGCGGTGCTGGCGCTCAACGACATGCTGAAGCAGCAGCTGAACCTGACGCAGCAGTTCATCGCCGCCAGCCGCCACCTGCACCTCTCCCTCCTGAGGTCCATGGAAGGGGACTCGTTCCACTACCACTCCCTGGAGGAAGCCAAAGAGGTGACGGCAGAGAGACGGGGCGGAGTGGGCGGGGCCAGGGCCCACCACATACCCGTGGGAACCTGTCCCTCAGGTTCTGGTGCGTGGCCCCCTGCTGCAGGGATGTGGTTGGGCTGTCACCTTCTGCTACTGTCACCTCTCCTTGTCCTGTGATGAGCTATGTATTATACAGTGTGGGGGACTGAGCCTGAGTCTTATGGCCAGCCCTAATGGGGCTGTGTGGCCTCAGACCAAAGGGGACCTGCCCTGTGGAGCCCTGCCCTCTTCCCAGACCCTGAGTGCTGCCCAAGGTGGTTCCTGAAGGCACCGGACTTCCTCCACAGTCCCTTGGGCTGCAGCTCAAGAGACGCCCTCACCTCCCTTTTTCCTCTTGAAAAGCTTAATTTCCTTCTGCTAACCTTAAAATTCCATTGGGGGCTGCGGCTGGCTCAGCAGCAGAGCGCTTGCCTGGCATGTGGATCCCGGGTTGGATCCTCAGCACCGCATAACAATAAATAAAATAAAGGCATGTGTCCAACTGCCACTAAACAGAATTAAAAAAAAATAAAATTCTATTGAGGTATTAATTTACCGTCCTCCATAATCTCAAAGATAACTATTGCCAGCGTGATAGACTTCCATTTTTTTCTGTGCAAAGTGTGAACTATTATAAGTATTTAAAGAAACAGTGTCATCCTGTATGTGCTGTTCTATTTTTCATTCATTCTGCATACAAAATATTTCAGCACATTGTTTCCAAAAAAAAATTTTAAAAACAGTCATAATGCCACTAACCCTAAAACTGGATTTGCTCTGTTATCATGGAAGACCCAGTGTTCAGATCTCCAATTGTCATGTTAAAGTTGCACATTTTATCCCCCTTTTAAGTTCACTTCTTAATCTACTTGTTGGTGCTGGTGGAGCCCAGTGTCTGGCGTGTGCTGAGCGCTCGCTCTGCACTGAACCCTACACACCCGAGATGGTCCCGTGTCTTTTTTCTGAAGTGTCTCTCTAGAGCCTGTTCTTAACCTGAGCAGCAGAATCCCTGCAGGGTGAGAGCAGCTGCTGGGCCCACTCGGGGCAGGACGGGCGTGTCTCCCGAGTGCCCTGTGATGCCGGCAGCCAGCTGGCTGGGGACCCACTCTGAGAAACGCTGCTCTGCAGGCCATCCGCCCCCTCGCCGTTATCCATGGAAGGAAACAGGTCATCTGACCTGCGCTCATTCTGGACATTGCTGAGGGCACCCTTGGGGCCCCTTTAACTCACTCTCTGCTGGCCGTGCATTAGCCAGCCCTCAGCTGAGGCAACCTGGCCACGTCACCTGTGTCAGTCCGCCACAGCTCCTGCCGACCGTGTCCTAAGCGTGGCACCCAGGTCCTCCTCCTTGACTGCTCTGAGGCTGCCCTTCCCTCTCCAGCCCAGAGCCTGCGGCACCTTCCGGTCTGCACAGCGCCCAGCGCTCCTGTGTGCCAGGACCAACCACCTGGCCTCCCCCACCAGCCCTTTTGGGGGCTGGGCGCCATGGCCGCGTCTCTTCCCAGCACCCAGCAGCCTCTAGGTGCGTTTTGGGGTGGCCGTGCTGATGGTGTCCCCATCTGTCTCCTACCCAACAGTATATCAGGTGCCACAGGCCCACGCCGCTCACCATGGAGGACGCTTTGCGGGAGGTGCAGGAGGAGCTGTAAGTACCAGGTGAGGCTTGAGTTGGGAACACACGCACACACGCACACAAGTTTCCAGGTGACATCCGTGGTGGGGCACAGTGTTGGGGTAAAGGCTCAGGATTCACTGGAGGCGAATCCCTACTCAGAGACCTGCTCAGCACGCTGCTGAGGAAATTGCCCGTCAGCATGAGGACATGATGCAGGACAGTGGGGACGCAGCACAGGCCAGGTGCTGGCTTCCTGGTGGGCACAAGGCAGACGGAACCGATGGTGCAGGACTGCTGTTCACGAACAAGGACACGAGAATAACTCCTCACGAGATGCCAAGGCCCCTGCTCCACCGGGCCTCGTCCAGAACACGCCCCTCACTCCACCCACGCTTCTCACTTGTACACGGAGGAGGAGGTCTTTAAAAAAAAGGCTTTATTTGAAGGCAAAACAGTAAAATCCACAAGAAATCGTTAACAGCACGAGTTTGTTTTATCCAGAATCAGACACATTTGAACAAGTCACAGCTACGGGAAATCTAGAACAAAATCAGATATTTACCACGTGGGCATGAAAAAYTGTGGGAGAAACTCTGCATCTTACTGAAAAGAATTTTTCAAAAGTACTTCTTTACAAATAAACGGCACCGCACCAAGCTGCCGATGGATCCAGGTGTGGGGGATCCAGGCAGCTTCTGGCAGAGGTGACACTCCTCCTGGCCCCACCTCCCTTTGGGGGTGGGCTGGGGGTATGCAAATGAAATGACAGAGTAGGAGGTACCAGTTGGRAGGTGGCACTCCACACTCAATCTAAATGGGTCCTCGCACGCAAGTGCTGGTGTTGGGTTCCCCTAAGTGACAACCACAAGCAGAGGGGCTACAGATGCCTCCAGGGCGTCATTGCTGACCTGAGGACACCTTAGGTTGTTTGCTTAGAACCTTTTCTTTCTCCAGATAATAGCAAATGGCCAACATTTGAGGAAGAAAAAYCAACATACACAACTAAAATAACTGAACTAGGGGCCGGGACACCTCAGAGGAGAGGGGTTTAAAATGATCTTATTGGGGAGCGTCTTAGATCAATACTTTTTTCTAAACCTAAATTAATCGGAATCAAAATGAAAACCCTGGTGAACTCTGCTAATCCAGGAGGTTTTGCTTTTCCTGTTTTAAACTGTGAGCAGTGACAGCACCTGGCCTTCGCTCGCCACTACAAGGGCAGCGGGTGGGTGCTGCCCGTGCTGCCCCCTGCTGGTGCCTGGCCTGCCCTCCACACTGCTGCTTGTGGAAGGGGCTTAGGTCTGACTCAGGGAAGACGAACAGCATCCACTCCGTCAGGTGTGAAGAATTCTCATTCAGGGACTGGAAGGTCTTGGGTTTCTTGCTTCGCTGTAAAGGGAAACGCGCTCACGGCCGTGGTGCTGTGGCACCTCCTCCTGGGGTGTGCAGGTGGCGCCTGAGCCCTTCCCACGCCAGTGCATGGCTCTCCTCACTAGGCCCGTGTTAGTCTTCCTTCTCTTCCTTGCGTGCCCCAAACGTGGAGACTGCGTGAGAACCGAGCTGTCACTACGATCTTCCACTGCCAGCAAGCCAGGAAGGTCCCGCCAGCCAGCGCCGCCAGCCACCGGTGCGCTCCCGGCCCTGGGCTCCTACTTACACTCGTCCCTGGCCTTCATGCGGGCGATGAAGGAGTAGCTCTTATTCCGACGGTAGTTCTCGTAGGGGTCGTCCAGGGCCACGCCCACGCCCTTGTACTGGTCCCACTTATCCCGGACGTCCCCGCCCTTGATGGGGTCCTGGATCCCCTGCTCTTTCACACCAAGGCCGCCAGAGCCACTCCAGCCTGAGAGAGGGGGACACATGTTCAGAGCCCATGCAGGAGGCTGCAGGAGGCCTACAGGTGGTGGTGGTGGGGTTGTCAAAAGGGAGGTTGTCTTTGGGGAGGTGAGTGACACAAGAGCAGGCAGTATTTACACAGAACAAGGAGCTAATAAAGAAGACCCAGCACCAGCCCGGCTGGCTGGCCACTTCAGAAGTCCTAGCAGTAATCCCCAACTTCCTGTGACTCCTCTCTCCCCATACAAAGAGGACAAGAAAACCCCGTCACCTCCTAGATCCCCAAGTGGCCAAGGGTTGGGGTCTGAGGATACTTACCCATCTTCACCAGCATCTGATGGCCTTTGTTCTCTTCTCCGAGCCTCGAGTCAGGTATAGGAGGCGCTGAGTTAGAACCCAGACCAGCCGAAGAACTAAAATTAAGACAGGTTACATTTTTCAAAAAATAGACAAATTTATTGGAATGACAAATACTAGAATATACAGTTTGTCGCTCAGGTAACTGCTTGCCATCATAAGGTAGACACACACATATTCCGTGTCTCTACTGTTCTTCATCTTCTTCATCTGCCTGATAAAGGGGTTCCCTCAGATGATGACCCTGTCCCTGCTTAGCATCAAAGGCACAAGGTCACACCAAGCCTCTAAAATGGTCAGAAATAGAGTCCACCTACTGTGCAAGCCTTATCAAGTGTGTGGCTGTGGGGTGGGCAGAGCAGAGGTGCTGCTGCCACTGGGTCAGCACCTGTGACACCTGTCTGTCTTCTAATGACAAATGATTACACCATGACAGCAAAATACCAGAGGCTCCCAGTGAGGACAGAGATCTTACGGCGGGGTGGGGCTCCTGGATCTTGACCGGCGCCTCCTTCCCGGGGAATATGACTTGGACCTGGAGCGTGACCTGGACCGAGAGCGGCTTCTTGAGGAGCGAGACCTGCTGCGGCTCCTGTGGAGGACAGCACCCTGGGTCAGAGGCTACAGGGACTCGGGTGTGGGCACCCGAGCGTGCCCGCATGGAGGGGCTCGTGTGCTGCAGCTGCCGAGGCCTACCTGGATCTGGAGCGGGAGTAGGAGCGTGAGCAGGAGCGCGACCTGGACCTTGAGTAGGAGCCTGACGACTTGGAGGACCTCGAGTTGGAGCGTGAAGAAGAGCGCCCTCGGCTTTTGGATCTGCTCCGAGACCTGGAGGGGCCACTGTGGGGAGAGGACTGATGAGCGGAGCCCCAGGAGCCCTGGCCTGCCTGGGACCCCAGTTCCTGTGAGACCCAAGAGTCTGTAGCCTCGACCCCAGCGAGGGCTGTTCCCCAATCCCACTGCTGATCACAGAAGACCCGGGTCCACTCTGCTCACTGGTGACCACCTGTGGCCGGGGAGGCATGCTGACAGGGGCGCACGAACACATGTCAAACGGGTGGCAGGACAGGCAGACCCACGGCCATCTGGGCTCACCTGTTCCTCTTCTCCTGGCCTTTCCGCCGCCGCGCCCGCATTTTTGCTCGGAAGAATTCATAGAGGCCATTCTGCTCCCAGCCTTCGCTGTAAGACATGGCATTTCCTGTGTGACTGCAGACGCCCCTCCCTCAGTCGACTTATGAAAACGTCATCTGGATGACCCCTGCCCCAGGGAGCCCTGGAAGGCGCAGCCCTACCCACCTCGTTCCCAAGACACCCCCATGAGCGTGCCGTACAAAGCACCTCAGATATTCCAACAGGGCTGCCCTTTCCCCACCAGGAAGCTTGGCCTGAGCCTGGCTGGACCCAGCCCCACGGCCCCTCCACCCTGCGGCCTCCCTGCAGGAGGCACAGAAGCCTGTGGGTGCTGTGGCCAGAGACGAGGCTATCCAGCTCCCTAAGGCTGGGCCTGAGGCCACCAAGGCACGGAGTGGTGACTGCACAGGGACAGTCTGCCCGCAGGGGCGAGCCAGGTCACACCTGAGAGAACTTCCATTCTAATGAATGGATTCAAGAAGCCCTTTGTGGAGGGCCATCATGTCTGTGCCACACCGGTGACAATCTCACTCAGGATGGTGCTCTTCTCCTTAGAGATGGCCACAAACAACCAGAGTAGATTCTGTGGCAGGGCATGTGCAAGGCCTGGGCTTCATCCTCAACACCCCCCACCCCCCCCAAAAAAAAAAAAAAAAAAGCAGACTGCCATATCTTCTTACCTGGACAGAAGACCTGGCTCTCAGTCTGTTGCTCAAATGGAATACATTCAGGGGGAAGACAGGCCAGGAGGTGGGGACAGAGGCTCCCTGTCTGTCTCTCAGGATCCCCCCCAGCACCTGTCCCGCTGCCCCTTCTCCGGGGCCTGTACCTGTTCCTGGGCCTGTCATGGGAGGGGGGGCTGTAAAAGGCCTCCACGGCGGCCAGCAGCCTCTCGCTGGGTGGCATGGGGGGCGGAAGGCGGATGTCTTTAGGGTCCAGAGGCTTGTACTCGTGGTCTTCCAGCTGTAGGGAGGACAGTGCTGTGGCTCATGTCCACAAATCCCTCTCCAGGCCACCCAGGGCACGGCAGGGGAGTGACAGCAGCACAGAGGGCCTCACCCAGTCCCGGGAAACCCTGCCCTCAGAGGGCTCAGCCACAGGGATCTTGCCTCAGAAAAGTCACTCAGGTGATGTGGCCAGCACCTCAGATGACGCAAAACCACTCAGTTTGTCCAGACATCTGGACCCCAAGTGCCCCACCTGTGGACTGCTACCCTCTGCTCCCAACGGGCTTACAGCCAGCTCCTCTCCACCCTGTCCAAGCCGTGCTCCGTGTGTCACCCGCTTTATGCTCCAATCCCAGCTTCTGGGAATTTCTGGAGAGCCTGGCAGCGCCCCCAGCTGAGTGCTTCGTAGCCCTGTCTGCTGTGCCCGAGCCCCAGCCCGGCTCTTCCTCACAGTGCCTCAGCTTGCGCTCCAGCCACCCCTCCCGCCAGGACAGCTTGCAGAGGTGTCTCCTGAGAAATCCCTATGGCATCAGCCCCTGGACAGGTGGCTTCTGAGGACAGGGACTAAGAGGCAAGAGTGGAGGACCCACACGTCACACATAGCCCGGATGGTTCTCTGTGGCTGCAAAGCCCCCTTGCAGAGGGAAGGGAAGGAAGTGAGTGGATGTGGCCTTGCTCAGGAGCACGGGCACACGCCTCTTCGAGGCAGGAGTGGGAAAGGGGAAGGACGGGCCTGGGAAGGGAGCCTAGCAGCCTTCTGGAAAACATGCTCCCGGGGCTCCATTTTCAGGCGGGTAAGCAGAGGGGCCCACACAGCAGGTGCTGCCACCTAAGGCAGCCCAGGGCTCCCGAAGTCTTACCTTCACGAGGGGGGCCATCAACCCAGCAGGGAGATCGAAGTAGGGCACATTGGGGACCAGGCTGGGGTCGTCATGGTTGATATGGGGAGGGCCCTGTCTTCGCATGTGGGGGGGCTGCCCATTAAAGCCATGGGGGGGAGGGCCAAAGTCAGGGTGCTGAGGCCCAGCCCAGGGTGGGTGCTCATTGATCCCAGGATGAGGCATGCGGTGGCCAGGGTGGTGGTGAGGGGGTCCCATCTCTGCAAAAAAGAAATTTTGTGTCAGGACTTATTGGTAGCTGAGAGGTACCATAAGTCAGGACCTCCCAGCTAAGGGGCAAGGAGGCCCAGCTGAGGGAAGGAAATATCAAGGCCATTGAAACCTTAAGACAGCAACGCCCAGGGCTGAATTGTGCCTAACCCACCAACAGTGTGGACACGGGAGTCCTAACCCCAGACCTAACCCAGAAAGTGGCTGTATTGAGAGGCAGGGAGCGGCCCCAGCTGGTTATGGAAGCCAGGGCCGTCTCCACCCCAGGCGGAGGCTGGGCCGTTACAGAGGCAGTTACTAACTGGAGGTCCTCAGGGTGGACCCTAACCCAACATGACTACTGTCCTTGTAAGAGGAGGTTTTCAGGACACAAGCTCACACTGAGGGGAAGATGCCATTTACAGGCCTGGGAGTGGTCTCAGAAGAAACCAGCCCCGCTACACCTTGACCTCAGACTGCTGGTCTCCAAAACTGAGGGACAATCAACATCTGTCACAGGAGCTGCTCAGCCCGGGGTCCCTGTTAGAGCTGTCATGGGAAACTAACATGAGCCATGAACATGGGGAGTGCCCCACAGATAAACATCACA